CCCGTCTGCCCAGACACAGCCTCGATCCTTGCCATACCAGTCACAGTTTGATTGGTCATATGGCATACCGTGGTTTGATACGCATACGCTCCAATTAGCAACTGGCGCTGAAAGTAGAACTGGCGCTGAAAGTAGAACTGTGGTACTTGTGGTCGTCGTCTCTTGACTACGTACATCTGCAGGCCGACAGCGGTGGCCGGTCTTGGAGTAGTAGCCTCCATCTTTGCACGTGCACCTCCCGTCCTTCCAGACGCAGCCTCGATCCTTTCCGTACCAATCACAGTTGGATTGGTCATACGGAAGGCCACGATTCGACACACAAGTACTGCTGTTCGCCTCTGCCAAGGGCCTCGTCGTCGTCGTGGTGGTCACTGCCACTCCGCCATCTGCCGGCCGGCAACGACGCGCAGTCTTCGAGTAGACTCCCCCGCCCTGGCAGACACACTGCTCATGCTGCCAAATGCACCCCCGGTCCGGTCCATGCAGGTTGCAGCTTGACTGACTGTATGCCAAGCCCCGGTTGGACCTGCAAATGCTGGGATCCTCGTTTGCCATGGCGGCGACCGCAAATGCTATGACGGCAACGGACTGCATCATGGATCTATACCGGGCCTCGAGCAACCGTGCCAGCTCGGAGAGAGCCAAAAGCAGCAAGGAGATAGGTGACTCGTGCGCATGTGCGTCCTGGCCAAACTCCTTCCAACTTCCTGCTTTCATAAACTGTCATGACCTCTGGAAAAAAGCAGTCAGAGTAAGCTTCCCCGCCTTCGTTACGATGCTTCAGTTGCGGGGGAAAAGGAGCGCGTGGCAACGGCCGAACTTCGGCCTCAAGGCTCCCTCTATGGCCCTCGAGTCTATGGCTCTCAAAGGCTCAAGGAACCAGCAGTCTTTTGCCAATGACTACCTTCCCAAGTCCCAAACTTCCGCGCAAGGATCCCCCAAGGACAATGGTCTTCCGGGAAGCCATGTTCAGCGTCTCTCGAAATTGCCAAAGGACTTGGTGTCCTTCTTTCTGCCATCGTTGTCCAGACCTCCAGCCATCTTGTTGCGCACCAGGCCTGGTTTGTGTTTGGCTTGAAAGGCACCGAACAAGTTTTACAGCACGGCAGCACAAGCTCCAAACCACCAATTAGAGTGAAGCTGAATCGCCTTACCCCGAATTGGTGGCTTGGTTTGGCGCTTTGGACGTTGGGTACCTTCCTTTGGTTTCAAAAGGCACTGGGGTTCGAATCTCCAAACTACCAATCCTGGTAACCTGAGAAACTGACCAAACCCGGGGCTCCAAAAAAGCAACGCTTTTTAACACCTCCACAACAAAAAGGAGCGTCCAATTCCTCCCTCCCCGTTCCGAGACGAAACCGACGAACCGCGAACCGACCGCTCACCTCGCTGGTGCGGAGGATGTCATCGATGGCGTCATCGCGGTAGCCCTTCCACCTGGCGAAGGAAAAGCGGGTAGCAGACGGGGCGCGGTGAGCGGTTGCTAGGGGTATCCAAAAGGAAGGCGGAAGATAGCCCACTCATTTTGGAGGATGCCGGGTTCTTAGACAATTCCTGAGATAGGACTGTTTCTGGGGGGGAAACCCGGAAAATGAGAGGGTGTCCCTTTAACCTACCACTGCACGGAGGGTGACTTTCATCCTTATAATTGGACCGGCGAATTTCGCACATGCACCTTTTGCATGCGCAGGAGACAGTAGGGGTCCCCTTCCTGTCGTGCCCCTGTCATATCCCTTGGACCTTTTTGATAAATCATGTTAAGCTAGGTCGTTTAACAATGCTATGGGTGCACAACCCAGGAGTGTGATATGAACACGAGGTACAATCTAACATGAGCTCATGGTGCAATGGATAAGATGAATTTCGCCCACGCACAAACAGGATCCCTTACTGACAATACCTATACGGCAAAGTTGGTGAGCAACTGGATACACTGGGTCCAGTCCTCCGAAAGGTCCCTAAATTAAGCCATCTGAGTGGCCCCTACTACTACAAATACTTAGCTTGCATCTTCTTCTGTTGTCATACCGTCCAAAGGGAGCCTTGCATACCTGGGCTCTTCGCTTGACAAATCCAGCCGGGCCATCAAAAGCAGGAATGCGACGCGCAATTTGGCAAGTCCCTCGGGTATCCACTTTGCTACAAATGCGTAGAACCCACCTCATCCATTCTAAGCAGGCTGGATTTGTGGCCAGGTACGCGAAGCAACACAGGTGTTCCGCAATTCTGGGCCTTGCCTGAACAGGTTTGAAACCTCAAAATCCAGTGTCGAATGGTGCATCCAAAAATTAGCTCCTTAATTTTGGCACAGCGCGACCGATGATGTTTCTCTTGGAATCTAGGCACCCGTGATTCGGATTGCGGAAATCCATCGCAGCCTGTTCCATCCACTCGGACATCTAGGGTGTCCTCAAACTGGAAAAGGACACATGAGTCAAAATCATACCCTGATATGAAAGGAGTCTACGGCCGCAGCTATTTATGCTTGGGTGGCATGCCTTTTGCGTATTCCAACTGGCGCCTGTTGTCTTGAAGATGGTGTCTTGAAATGCGGGGCCCACTTCTGAAGGCAGCAAATCAGGCATTTCCAGAAAGAAGGTGGGGGGGGTCTTGTATTCTTTGTGAAGTTGGCTTCAAGGGAAACAAAGGAAATCCGTTTGGGGGGGGGGCATGTCCTATTTTGAGCCAACCCAGGTGAATTGTCTTGCCTGTCCCTTTAGCTCAGCCAAACAGAAAGTCTCCACCAATCTTGGGCCCAAATTGTGGAACCCCCGCAAAAAGAACACCCACGAATCATCATGACTTGGTGTGTGCCTTTCCGCCTGTATGATTTGGGCGTGTCCTAAAATAGGGGACACAACAGGGTTAGCCTCCTTTTTGCGTCCCTTTCAAACCACTCCAAATGTTCTCCAAAAAACAGTGGCACACCCATGCATTGGCGCCAACAAAAAAGAGAGAGAGAGAGAGAGAGAGAGAGAGAGAGAGAGAGAGAGAGAGAGAGAGAGAGAGAGAGCCCCCGCGCCTGGGCCCTCGAGTGGGGTCCTAGCGTCGACTGGTCAGTCGGCCGGTACCAGGTACGCCAGAAATCAGGTTGAGGCTGATGCCAGGTGTGTTGGTAAAGTTGGTCAAAGTTGCGGGTTCCGCGGATGCGGGCGCTGATCGGGTGGCTTAGGTCGGGTTGAGTGCGGCCGAGGGATTGGATCAAGCTGGATTTACACCTTGTTTCAAGTACACTCCCCAAAGAAAACGAGCCACCCATGTGTCAAGGGCGTCTCTCCCGTGCCCTGGCTTCTTGCAGCCCAGTAGCGTGATATGGAAAGCTGTGGCTCCAGCGCTCTGGCGCGATGGTCACGTACCTCAAGTTGGAGGATCGTGCGCGCATGGGAAAAAAAACACGGCCCAAGTCAGCGGAGAACCGGACCAACCAGGAGTATCTTTCAAGTGCAAGTTGTTTGGAGCGGTCCACTGCCAAATGTGTGGCCTGCTTGAAAGTCTAGTAGGAGTGTTTCTGCTTGTCCCAGGCCTTCTACTTTGCTAGGGCCAGAGTGCTTCCTCCAGCTGGCATGTGCATGCGGTCTGACTTCAGGTCTTACGTAGCGGTTTCGGCTTGGGCCATGGCTTCGAAACTCAATGAATCGAATGCCAAAAAACGAGAAAGTTCAGCTGGCCCAAAACCACAAAAGGCCCACGGAATCCGTCCAGATCCACGACTCGACTCATCTGCCTCTCTCATGGGGCTGTGGAATGGCAGGTTCAAACAGCGTATCATCTTTCTAAGGTAGGCCGAATCGTCCCCTCTCGCACTTGTGGTACACCTGCGAAGTTTTTCACTTCCAGGGACCTGTCAGGGTGAAAAGGTGGAGGTCTCAGGTTAGCACTCGACTCACCCCAAAGGAAGCAAATGGCAAAGGGGGGCAAAGAGGCGTCTTGGGTTAGTTGGGTTACACCCCGCCTAACCCAGGTGGAGTTTCAACTGGCGCGCGCCTCTCCTCGATGCTGCCAGCCACCTGCGCAGCACCGTCCTTTTTGGTGTCCAAAGTCCAAAAAAACTCAGCGCCTTGGGACGAGAGAAACCCAAGGACACCCTTCGCTGTGTTTGTTTTCTTCTTTTTCGGCCCTTCTTTCATCCTGAGGCTCGGAGGCGCAGTCTTGAAGCAGACAGGTAGCCACAGAGGGGCCGCGGATACCTAGAAGCACTTGACCATTTTGCGGCACGCGACCCTGGGACAGGATCCCAAGCGAGGCGGCAAAATAGACGCTGGGTGTCCGCCATACGAACCCCGCTGCTCGCTTTGCTGTGTTCTTCTGTTTTCTGGTTTCGGCCCCGAGAAAGGGCCTCTTTATAGGTCCTTCCACGATCCTCCCTGCTCAATTCAAACGAGTTCATCTGCTTAGCTGCCACTGCAAGAAACCCCCCATGAACCATTCCCGAAACAAAAGAGGCGTGTCGGGATGTCCTGGCCTGACCCGCTTCTTTTGACTCACAAAAAATGGGCAAGGAACAAGAGCCACAAATGTGTTCAAATTGGGATACACAGAAAAAACGCACAAGTGGGCGGCTTCCGATTGATTGCCCAAAAGCACAGCTCTGAAACAGGCGACCTTGAAAAACGGCACAAACATTTGGCAATAAGCCTTCCTAACGGAAAGGATCCACGTGTGGTTGGAAAGCAGTCGTGCAACCATATTCCCAAGGGAGATCAAGTCTCCGTTTTTGCAATGGAAGTGGAGAGGGGCCCTTTTCAAGAGGATGGTAGCCTTCGCCCTTCGATCACCAGTTCCTATTGTTGAAAAGAGGGCAAACTGCTCCAGCGCGAAGACATCACGCACCCTTTGAAAATCCGCGTGCAGCTGGCGATTTTCTCATTTTCAGATCCCAGAGCGACCTGGACCTTACGAGCAGAAAAGCTAGAGCTGGGTAAAAGTAGACGGCAGGTTCCCATTGGTTCTGTCCGTGCCATCTGCTTTCACCCTGGCGTGATGAGCCCAGCCGGTTGCCCTCACTTGGCTACGATGTACACGCTGGGGTCATCCAGCTCTGCCACACCCATCTTCGCAGCATTCTCCGGCGTGATCTCTGGAGGACGGCCCTCCTGGTGCTTTCTTCGGAGAAAAAATGCGACGCGAGAAACAAACGCAAACAGCGCCGTTTGCCTTTTCACCCCGTTTGCTTTTGTTGAACAGGAAGGATCATGGCACAGTTCCCCCCAAGCTGGCTTCATCATCCCCTTAGTTGCTGGCAAAAAGAGAACTGCACCGTCTATGTTATTTGATGCTGGCTTTATGTGACAAACGGTTGTCATAACTAAAAGTTAGACGGTACATAGTATACCGAAACTAGGTGACATTGGATGCTTTAGAACTGTTTACAGGAACATGTTGATTTATGATGTTGATGCAAGCCTACTTCTGAAATCAATATCTGTTGTATTCGATAATGCAGAAAGGCAACTATCAATATAATTCATATGTTCTTTAAACCATACATAAACTATATTTGTTGATGGGCAATGAGATTATGGACTGGGTCGAGATTTAATTTGGGATTTGTTTGTTGTTTTTTGGAAATTTTTGTCTTCCGTCCTGGCTACTAAAATGCTGTAATTTACAGCATTTTCTCGCGAAATGTGCGTATTTTATGCTAGTCCGTCAACATCATCAGCATCGTTTTCAACATTCCCCGCATGTCCAGCCAACATCCCCAGCATCACCAGCAAATTGGCTTCCCGTATCTCATGGTAAAAGTGAGGATTCAAATACGGGCAAACTAATCCCTGTAAAACACCTAAAACGTGGCAGCACCCCCCCCCCATGATAATTGAAAAAGTGACGATGCAATTAAAGGCGCGGGGGGTTCGGGGGGGGGGGGGGGGGCGGCAGCCCCCACCATCATAATAAAAGTGATGATTCAATTAAAGGCGCGGTGGCAGCCCCCCCCAATGATGATCGAACAAGTGATGATTCAATCAGGGGCAAAAGTCTGAAAAATAGCGGGGGGGGTTGGGGGGGGGGGGCGGCAGCCCCCGCATGATGATCCTAGAAAGTAGCGGTCGCATGATGATCGAAAAGTGATGATGCAATTAGGGGCAAAAAGTCCAAAAAATAGCGGGGGGGGGGGGGGGCTGGGGCGGCAGCCCCCCCATGACGATTGAAAAAGTGATGATTCAATTAGGGCCAAAAAAACAGCGGGGGGTCATCAGTTCCTCTGCGGCAAGGCCTCGTGGTACAAGTGAGGATTCAAACACGGGCAAACTAATCCCTGTAAAACACCTAAAGCGTAGCCGGGGGGGGGGGGGGCGGCAATTCCCCCCATGATGATCGAAAAATCCGGGGCAAACAATCTAAAAAGTAGCGGTCGCATGATGATCGAAAAAGTGATGATTCAATTAGGGGCAAAAAAATATACAAAAGCACCGGGGGGTCATCAGTTCCTCTGCGGCAAGGCCGCTTGGTACAAGTGAGGATTCAAATACGGGCAAAGTAATCCCTGTAAAACACCTAAAACGTAGCGGCGGGGGCGGCGGCAATTCCCCCCATGATGATTGAACAAGTGATGATTCAATCAGGGGCAACAAAGTTGGGGGGGATGATGATTGAAAAAGTGATGGTTCAATGGGCCAAAACAAAAAAAGTAAAAATAGGAAAATAAACAGCGGGGGGGGGGCATCAGTGCCTCTGCGGCAAGGCCTCATGGTCAAAGTGAGGATTCAAATACGGGCAAACTAATCCCTGTAAAACGGAAGCCCCCCCCCATGATGATCGAAAAATAGGGGCAAAGAATCTAAAAAGTAGCTGTCGCATGATGATCGAAAAAGTGATGATTCAATTAGGCGTGTATTTTAATCGTAAGGGGGGTGGCGGGGGGCACCAGAGAGGAACTTGCGATGCTGAGGATGCAGGAAGCCAAGGCCAAAAACCAACTGCGAAAGCAGAGGATGCGAAAAGCCAAAGCCAGAAAGCCGCCAAAAACCACAAAGCCAAAAAGCCACCTGCCGCAGCGGAACTGGCAATGCAGAGGATGCGAAAAGAGAGGAACTGCGAAATGAAAAGCCACAAAAGCCACAAAAACCCACGTAAAAGCCAAAAAAGCCAAAAAGCCTGAAAAGCCACCCACCCTGAAAAACAAAAAATCCGAACAAAAAACAAAAGAATCCTGAAAACATGGCACTCCTTATGGATTTTGGGCAAAACCCACCCAAAAGCATAAATTGGATTCATACGTTCATCAAGCAATATATCAACATTATTTATTATTACGTAATGGAGTGCGCAATCTCTCAATCAGATATGTTGGTTGTAATGTACTTCCATCCGAAATGATGTATGTTGATGTTTGTTGATGTTTGTTGATGTTTAGGTGATTTTGGGCTAGACTGCTTTGAGCTGCGCGCGTGTCATTTTCGGAAGCGTGCTTTGCGCACCTGCTAAACAATCGGGGTGAATTAATATTTCACCAGCCTGAAATAAGGTGGGAGGGATCTTCCCCACATAAACCACCATTTGGGGTGAGGTCGTGTGAGGTCGTTATAATTCACCCAGAACAATGTAATTGAATGATAATTGGAAACAAGCTGGAAGTGTAGGCTAGACATCGTCTAGACACGTAGACATGTTCGAGACACATTCTGTACACATGCTCGACATATGCCAGAACGATGCAAGGTCTATCCTAGATGTATGCTTCGTTCTGGAACAGAACGCAAACACGTATCGGATCCACGCTAGATAAGCATGCTGGAAATGTTCTAAGAATACGCTAGACACTTGACAGGCATATGATTTCCCCAAGGCTGCGGTCAGTCTGATGGGCCGCGTGCATGAAGCTCACTTCGAATGGCTCCCAACCAATCCCAGCACGCAAACTCGATGAAGCAACTTCATACGCGGCACATGCCGGTAACTTCAAAAGCCCGAGCATATCAGTTCGCCGGAGGATGCCATATTGACGTCCCTGTCTTTAGACAAAGGAAGTAGTATTTGCCCGGCTGCGAGCCTCAAAATGCGCAGCTAGCGCCACCACACACAAAGTAACACGCGCTGCGCAAGTGGCACACATGAAAAAAGCCAAGCCGCGGCTTTCGACTTTTCGCCAATCGCAGGAGCAAGAGAGTAGGGACAGGAGGGTGGCGGCGGGGGTGCCAGCCCCCCCCATGATGATTGAAAAAGTGATGATTCAATTAGGGCCAAAAAAATATAAAAAAAGCAGCGGGGGGGTCATCAGTTCCTCTGCGGCAAGGCCTCAGCATTCAAACACGGGCAAACTAAAACGCAGCGGGGGGGGGGGGGGAGGTGCAATTCCCCCCATGATGATTGAAAAAGTGATGATTCAATCAGGGGCAAAAAGTCGGGGGGATGATGATTGAAAAAGTGATGATTCAATGGGCCAAAAAATGTTAAAAAAAAGCAGCGGCCTCATGGTCAAAGTGAGGATTCAAATACGGGCAAACTAATCCCTGTCAAACGGAAGCCCCCCCCATGATGATCGAAAAATAGGGGCAAAGAATCTAAAAAAGTAGCTCTCGCATGATGATCGAAAAAGTGATGATTCAATTAGGCGTGTAGTTTAATCGAAAGGGGGGTGGCGGGGGACACCAGAGAGGAACTTGCGATGCTGAGGATGCAGGAAGCCAAGGCCAACACCCAACTGGGAAAGCAGAGGATGCGAAAAGCCAAAGCCAGAAAGCCGCCAAAAGCCACAAAGCCAAAAAGCCACCTGCCGCAGCGGAACTGGCAATGCAGAGGATGTGAAAAGAGAGGAACTGCGAAATGAAAAGCCACAAAAGCCACAAAAACCCACGTAAAAGCCAAAAAAGCCAAAAAGCCGAAAAGCCACCCACCCTGAAAAACAAAAAATCCGAACAAAAAACAGAAGAATCCTGAAAAAATGGCACTCCTTATGGATTTTGGGCAAAACCCACCCAAAAGCATAAATTGGATTCATATGTTCATCAAGCAATATATCAACATTATGTATTATTACGTAATGGAGTGCGCAATCTCTCAATCAGATATGTTGGTTGTAATGTACTTCCATCCGAAATGATGTATGTTGATGTTTGTTGCTGTTTAGGTGATTTTGGGCTAGACTGCTTTGAGCTGCGCGCGTGTCATTTTCGGAAGCGTGCTTTGCGCACCTGCTAAACAATCTGGGTGAATTATAATATTTCACCAGCCTGAAATAAGGTGGGAGGGATCTTCCCCACATAAACCACCATTTGGGGTGAGGTCGTGTGAGGTCGTTATATTTCACCCAGAACAATGTAATTGAATGATAATTGGAAACAAGCTGGAAGTGTAGGCTAGACATCGTCTAGACACGTAGACATGTTCGAGACACATTCTGTACACATGCTCGACATATGCCAGAACGATGCAAGGTCTATCCTGGGTGTATGCTTCGTTCTGGAACAGAATGCAAACACGTATCGGATCCACGCTAGATAAGCATGCTGGAAATGTTCTAAGAATACGCTAAACACTTGACAGGCATATGATTTCCCCAAGGCTGCGGTCAGTCTGATGGGCCGCATGCATGAAGCTCACCTCGAATGGCTCCCAACCAATCCCGCGCAGACGTATTTACTTCGCAAAGGAAGTCGGTGCGGCTCAGCAAATTGGTTGTACCCCAAGCCAAACCTGATCTCACCTTTGCCCTTGAAACTCGGTGGATTCCATAAAAAAGAAGCAAGTGAAACAAAGACATCAAACCACACAACGACTCGGTGAACCGCGGACAAATGGATGTGTCTCAGAATAGGGGGACCCCAAATATGGTGGTTGTCCATCTGGTTTCCTTTAGAAACTTTAAATCAACCCCAAGAAGTATACCCTCAGAACAACACACACACACACTGGCCAGGAAATCCGTCTTCCCCGCTTTCAACACGGGCATCCACCATCTTCACGACAAGAAATGAGCATGAAAGCCGTGAACGGTTCCCCTCTTAATCTAAGGGTTGCCTAAGAGTGGGGGGGCTAAAAGGCCGGTCCTGCTCCTTTTCTTGTCAAGGGAACCATGTCAAGCGGGGGAGTTCTTTGTCTGACTGGGGCTTTGTCGTGACTTTCCGGCCACGCAACGAAAGCAAACGTGTTCTGAGTTGCAGCGTCGCGGTCTGCCCGAATGAATCAAGGACCTAGGCATTCTTGGCAGAAACGTCTGCCCATATTTCTAAACAACACATGCACAAAAACGTGTCGGTTGTTTGGGTACGATGTAGCTAGCACTTCATGCATATAGTTACACAAAGAAACTGAGAGCTAGGCGAAAAGAAAGCGGCATGTTGACCGAACCCTGGTGGCCGACCCCCCCCCCCGACCCCAACTCCTCGTCGAGCGCGCCGATGGAAGCGGCAAAGCGCTTGGCCTCCCGCATGATGTCCAGGGCGCTGAGCTCAGAATTCCGCATGACGTGGTTGATCCTGGCCCAGGAATCCCGAAACCCCTCATTTTTGTGGAGAGATGTCCTTTTCGAGTAGCCCCCCTTTCTTGGGTTCCACGTGCACTTGCGCGCGTGCAGCAGGAGCTTTGGCCGTTTTGCCGGCTTCTTTTGGGCTGCAACCCGCCCATCCCCCGCCCCTCCCCAAGTACCCCTTGCGGACCAATCGGCCTGAGGAAGGCCAGGACTTCAAATACGACCGCTTTTGAGGGGTTCTTCTGGCGGTTTCTATTTTTTTTTAACACCATTCTAGGGGTTGATGTTCCTTTTCCATTCTTTTCAACCATCGCTCTGCTCAAGAACCAACTGTTTCCCCAGGGTTTTTGGTGTTTTTAAAGAAGGATCCCTGGAAAGAATGGGGAAGGTACCCCTAGAACCATGAGGGTTCGGATGGGCTGGAAACCAGGAAACCGTTGGAAACCTTTGGAAGCATTCGGCCACCAAAGCTTGGAAAGGAGCCTCATGGAAGGGCTTGTGATCGACGCTGAACGGACAAATTGGAATCCAAACACGCGACTAAGGAGAATATAAAATCAACGCTCAAAGGGTTCCTAAGTTTGACACATATACTGCTCCAATTGTCTAGACCTGCCCATCCAGACCAACAAATGTATTCTACGTGCATGTAAATATATTAATACATAATTCTACGTGTTACTACATCGCATTTGTGAAACTCACACTTCCCATAAAGAGCCTTGGATGAGCTCGGTTTCACTAGGCGAGCTTCTCACAATTTGAGGGTTGGCATGCGAGCACCATGGACACCCAACAAACACGGGCGGCAAAGGCAAAGGCCTTTCCTTGGAGGCTTCGAGTTTTTATTTAAAAAAAAAAAAAAACACACACACACACACACCAACCTGGTACTCTTCGGGTGAATCAAACCCGCGCCTGGAATAGTAGGCCTGCGCCTTCACGTTCTTGGCGATGGCCATGCTGATGAAATCCGGCATGTCCACCTCCTGACGCGTAAAAGCGCCTTTGCGAGCGCCGAGCCTTGGGCTGTGGTCGTTCGCGGCACAGCAACCCGCCACCCGCAGAACTGACCAAAATGGCCGAAACAAACCAAACCTGTCCAAAACGAACCCACACCCAACCCAACCCCCAACCCTCAAATGCCCAAAACCAGGTATTGAGGCATTTGTCGGAAACTCCTCCTGCTGCATCTCGATCAATGGCAGGTCCTTGAGCTGCTCCAGAAAGCCTGCCGCTGGTTTTTCCAATTGACCCAAATGTGAGCTACGGTCAAATGCCGGGCATGGAGATGGGGCACTTCCACAATTCGAAATTCCCTATTGGAAACATGAATCATCAACCCCCTATTGCAAACACCGTGTGCGTTAGCATCACGGGTTGGCAGGGATGGTCACTTCTCACTTATCTCAAGGAACGGCCCAGTGAAGTCCCAAGACTGGACAGGGTTCCAATACCTTTCGTGTCACTTGCAACTGGCAAAATCCGACGCCTAGACCTCTACCCCCACAATTCCCAAGACCTAGTGAATGTCATGTCCACCACTTGCGAGGTGGTTCTGAAACTCGCTGGTTCTCAGGGAATTTGAATGTTTGGAGAAACCTAGGGCTCCTCCTTTCAGGAAACCACCAGGTGGATGGTTGGTGTCATTCCCTCAGGGATCGCAGGTGTCCTTTTCTGAAAGGGTAGATGCAACCACCAGGCCAACCAGGAATTTTTCGACCAACCAAACAGCACCCCTATGTCAGGGACAAGAACCAGCCTTCCCGGACAACCACGCTCTCTACCACATGCACAGCACTGCACCTATCACTTTTTGCAGGCTTCTTGGTTGGTGCTGCCCCAGGTGCTGGCATCTGAGTGGATGCTCTTTGCATCACCACCCCGCAACCCTGGAAAAAATGTTGATATGCTTCAATGTCCGATCATGGTGATACGTATTCTGAATTCGCATACAAAGAAAAAGCCCTGGCAATCTTCTTTCACCACCCGCTCTGGCGCACATTGCAAGCTTGTCACAATAGAATTGTCTGCCGATAGCGCCCCTCTGCACAATCTGCAAAAATGCGCGCAGGCACGCGCAACTGATATCTGCAATTCGACGAAAATAGGGCGGGACGTGGTGGGTGCTGATTGTGGGGCTTGAACCTTCAAGCTCACAGTTCGTTCGCTTGCATTGTCATTGCGTACACACATGTACTTCACGACAACCACGCTCTCTACCACATGCACAGCACTGCACCTATCACTTTTTGCAGGCTTCTTGGTTGGTGCTGCCCCAGGTGCTGGCATCTGAGTGGATGCTCTTTGCATCACCGCCCGGGGAGCATCCACCACTCTGCACCGGGCCACGAAAACTGTCGAGCAAAATTGCATTGGCACGAGAAGAGGCGTATTGCAAATCATCCTTCATCAAAAGCAAATGCTGGTGGAAAAGTTCAAGGTGGGGGTGCAGCCGTGTCCAGCCCAACTCGTTCGCCAGTGAATCATCCTGCCGGGAGAGGGGGTCAGAAATGTTACACCGACTGGGCACCCACTCGAAGTGAGGAAACCACTGCTTGGTGGCAGCAGTGCGCCAAAACACCGTCAGCAAAGAGTTCACTTGTTCGTCACTACCCCAACCCTTTTCAAGAGCACAGCAACCGGCGCGATTGTCGATAAAAGACACCCAATACTGAGGGAGAACGTCAGCCAGGGTACCAACCATAACCATCTGCGCGTACAACTCCAAGAAATAAATGAATGCCCTCCGATGGCCAAATGCAGCCACCACATGCTGGGGCACCTCGCCCATGGCGTAGAAGGTTTGGTTCTCAATTCTGGCAACGAAGCCCCAGCCATTGCAGAAGTCAGGGGCCTTGCGGAAACACCAAGCCTCATCGGCAGAAGAAAACAATTGGTCACCCTTCCTGAAGAAAGCGTCAGCATACAAAATTGCCACGCGGCTAGTGGCAGCTCCAAAAGGAATAAAACGCGGCGGGGCATGGTCCAAAACGTGCAACAATGTCTGCAAGGCTGTTCTCAAAGAGTGTGTCAACATAAACTCATCCTCTCGTGGCTTTCCTCCCAAAGCATGTGCTCTGACATGGACCGGGCGTAACGCCGCCGTGCCCATTTTTCCAAATAATGTTGTGTTCAGGAAAGTCATCCTGCCACCCAGTTTGCTTGCTTCGCCAGGCAAGAGACGGCCATCCACAAGGCACTGGTGGATGGCATTCTTGATGCGGATCACTCTGTCTGCATGTGGTTTGACCCAGATTCCTTGCTCAGTGATTTCAAAGGTAACACCAAGGATGTGCTGAGTCGAGGCAGGGCGCTGTACCTTGCTAGGCTTCATTCTCAGCCCCAAAATTCTGAAAAATTGCTCAAAGCTGTCACAACCAGAATCTGAACATGATTGGGGATCAACTCCCCCAAAGTCGTCCACGTAGTGTAAACTTGCAACAAGAAGCAGCTGCTGGGCCGCCCAATTCATTGCATCAGCAGCTCTGTTGAAGCTCCACACGGACCCCGTGGATCCGAAAACCAAAGCCTTGTGTCTCCACCACGTTGGCCCGGCCGGCGTGAACAACAGCGTGAAAGTATCATTGGGGTACCGCACAGGAAATTGTCTGTACGCAGCACTCAAATCATGTGCCCAGAGCTGTGGAGACTGACCTGACGCATGCATCAAATGCATGACTCTGCAGTACTCATCCACCGTGTGATGATGAGGGACATCACAGGCTGAAACAGTCTGATTATGGTGCGCTCTTCTCCAATCTTCGCAGCGCCGCACCTTGTCCGGCTGTTCGACACTGAAGCACACTGCCGTTGGACAATGGTGCTCAGGAGCCTGCAGGAGCGTTGACAGCTGCTTATACTGTGGTACACTGACGCACTGGACCGGCCAGCATGAAGGAGAGCCATATGGGCCATCAACACGACCTTTGGCATGTTCATCTGCTAGCTCATCCAGCATAATCTTCCAGTGAGGGTCGACCTTGTGATTTCGCAGCTTTTCGAAGACATGCCTCTTGTTGTCTTCAAAGAACTGCTCATAAGGCATGGGATCCCTGTATTTGGTATCCAAGCGACGCTTCCACCCAGACCCAGCATGCATCTGCCCCAGCAGCACGAAGCCATGGTGAAGATCAGCACTCAGTTCTTCAACGCCGGGATATTGCATCCGCCTGAGAAGAAAGCACAACAAGGGGATCTGAGCCGGAGGTTCACGGCCACCCTGGGTGTACACGTCGCGAATGTGCGGCGCTACCTGGGCCAACCAATCTTCCGTGATTTCGGCCCATTCCTGCACCAGCTCTGCCAGCTCATCCAAAACAGCTCTGCGAAGTTGCCTGATGGTTGCCAGATTCTGTAAAAGACGTTCGGTTACCCTCACCAAAGCAGGCTCAGGCGGCTGCGTGCGCAGAGAAGGGTGAATGAGACGCTGCGCCAGAGCCCAATGCTCCCGCATGCCTGCGCACGGCGGCACCAGAGGTGGCTCTGCAGAATCCGGAGTAGGCCCAAGCGGCGCCGGATTCACCAAAGACCATTCAATCATACGCTGAAGCGCAGAGCGGGTTGGGCTTCTTGTCAGCTGCGCAGCATGTGGTTGGACCTGCGAAGCTAGAAGAAGCAAAAGCAAGAGCCGCACCACTCCCAAGTGCCATGAATTCCCCAGCATGCGGTGCCTGTCATTCACATCAGCATGAGGGTGGGCAGTGTAATCATCCGGATAGTGGTGCAAGCGCTCTTTTACCAAAGGTGGCAGGACATGGTACCTGCCAGCTGCATCTGTCATCATGGCCGCCGACTCATAATGCCAGGGCGCAAATCGGCGTGAGTCCCCCAGCCAACGAGAGTGGGCTTGAGGAGATGTGCGCCCTTTGCTGCTCCTTGGAGCACTTCGCCCACTAGGCCAAGGCGCGGGCGTTGTCAAACATGGAAGGCTGACTGAGCCTGCCAGCACATCCTTGTGGAATGCCAAGCCAGCCACCTGCATATAAGATGGGTCATCCGTCTTCATGCTGGTCTGCAAGCGAGGAACCCCTGCTGACTTTGTCCACCTCAAAGGAGAGGTTGTTCCAGGGTACACATCCTGCGTGCTCCAGCGACGCCGCATCCACCACAAACGAGGCCGGCTAACTACACCAAAGTCAGCAGCGTCAGCCAGGATTGGCTGGCATTTCAGGCGGGCAGAAAAATGCTGAATTTCACCCTTGGCCTTGAGAACAACATTCTCAACCAAAAACCAGAAGGGGGGCCAATCATTCAACAGTTGCTCAAGCCGATCACAGAAATCACACATTTGGTCGAATTTCATGCCTTCAGGGCCAGCACGGCCTGCAGGTTGAGCCTTGATGCTGGAGAAGTCCGGACACGGCGGGCCGCCCAAAATCAAGATGCGCGCTGTCTTGTCAGGGTCCAGAGCCAGGATTTCAGCTGCCAGCGCTGCTGGGCTGTCTGCAGCCACATCTCCCCGGTGCTGTGTCTCTGGAACATGGTACGAACTGACATTCATGCACAGCTGGTCGATCTCCCAACTGAAAACAGCCTTGGGCCTTCCGAAGAGCTCCTTGAAAACAAAAGGCCCCGAACCAATGCCATCAAAGAAGCTCAGGATGATGACATGCGCCGCATCACAGGTCATGGGTTCACCCCCCTTGGCGCTAGAGGGGCTCCCAAGCCCCTATTTGTCAGCTTCTGGCCCTGGCCACTGCCAAGGCGTGGCAGACTTTGTGGAGGAATTCCACGATTGGGACCGCTGCTGGTCCCAAGATGACGAATGTCGAGGCCACCGATTCCATGCTGACGGGCGCCATGCCCCCCTTGCCTTGCCAACGCCTTTGGCAGGAAGGTGTTGCCGATGCTCCTGCTCCACGTCATCTGCCTCGGCTTTGCGTTTGGCCCCCCTCTTAAAAGCAGGCGTGATCTCCTTGGCCATGGTCTCATGATACAGCTCCAAGTCCGCTCTGATGTGCTCTGTGGCCTCTACAAAAGACTTCCCCACTCGCATTTGCATAGCCAGCTGCCACGCCAGCTGCTCGTACCAGATTCGGAACTGCTCGAGCTTGTTTGGCTTTGCTCGAAGGCGCAAGCAGAGCCAATCACAAAACTCGCTGATCTTGAGCTCTGGACCAAAGTCCAAAAGGATCCATGCCCACTGGATGCTGCGGATGGCGTCAATCACCGAGAGCACAGACTTAGGCGCCCAAACCTTCTCCGCCTCCTGGACCAGCTTGTCGCCCTCGACGGTCAGCGTGGTCTTGGCGTCTGCCTTAGACCGGACCAGGGGGTTGGGGTCACCAACAGCTGTAAAGGAACGATGTTGCATCAACTCGCCAAGTCCGATTGGAGTGTATAACTTTGTCTTCGTGTGTTCAAAATGAGCGCGCGCCAGCACGCTTTCAGCACCGACAAGCTCCCGTTCTGGAAAACTTCTGTTGATGCCCTGAATCTGCACATCGTTGTACCGCTTGATGGCTGAATTCCACACGCCTGCCGGCAGCTGCTTGGGCGGCTTGTCATCTGCAGCGCCATGAACATTCGAAGGAGCTGAAGCTGCGTTCGACAACTTTCCCGCGGAGGTATCAGCGGGCTTCATGTGATTCGCCCAGATGCGATTGGCTTCATCCCATACAGTGAGAAGCACAGCTTCGGCCACAGGCTTGTCAGCGTCATCCAGCACAAACTCGGTTGGGCCCTTTTTGAAGCCCTGCATAAGCGGTTGAATCAAAACCTTACGCAGGCCTTCATGATCTTTTGCCAGCAGAGCAAATGTCCCCAGCGCGGTGAGCCCCCGCGCTTTGACATAATCCTGCACAACGCTGTCAGCGCCAGCTTCCTTCAGCAGGGCACTTAAGGATGGCACAGGGTCTGCCATGGCTCCTACTCTGTCAAGTCAAAACCTGAGCGTCAAAGCGAACACACAACGAGCCCAATAAGCACCCCACAAATCAACACAACAAAACAAGCCACAGGCACCAGGTTCACAACCGCGGTGTCAGCTCCTCACACACTCTCTGTCTCACTCTCTCACAGTCTCTCCTATTTCTCTTTCAGAGAGAGAAATTTAATCCTGCTGCGCGAGTTGCGAGACAACAGCAGCACACTCAGGATCATGAGCCTGCTGCCATGACCACTAGTCACTCTCTGACCCGCGCGAGAGGTCAGCAGAGCTGTCTGTAGATGAGGAGCCGTCACTGTCAGAAACCTGCTGCCCTGACAGCCCGAAACACTTCTTGCATTTGACCAGCGTACCCTCAATTGCAGGAAACCGATGGAAAGAAGCAAGGCCATACTGCCAGCCGCAAACAGTACGCCACTGCAAAGGAGGATTGCAACGCTCCTGCACGCTAATTTTGTGCGCAATGTGGCTGCGATTGCGGGCAACCAAGGTCTCAGGGCACGGCTGCATTGCCTGCTTTAAAGCACGCAGATCGTGCTCCAGGGCCATGTACTGTCTCTGAAGGTCCCCAATGGGTTCAAGGTTGGCTGGAGCCATTGTCTGAACTCGCGGCCGCTTGGGTGCGCTGCATCTTGCTGGCTCTTCACTGTCCAGAGATTGCGCCGGGTCTTCAAAGGTGTTGCTAGGGTCAGCCTGAAGCGCCCGTTTGGCCAAGGAAGGCGTGACAGCCAGCGCTGCAGACTGCACGTATCTTTGGACGGCCATGGACCGCCACCGGCCATGGGCTTGGATGTGATCCAGAGTCATTCCAGCAGCTGCGCAGAATTGCGCTCCACTTACACGAAGGGCATGCCCTTGGAAACGTTGAGCAAGCGTACCGTCGGGCAAAGTGCGCTCCAAGCTGATGCCACAAGCCGCCAAAGTGGAGCGAATCATGTCAATTGTCTGGGTTTTGGAAGCAACGGCCCAATCTGCAGCAGGCACTAAAGGAGAACGATCTCCTCTGAAGCCTTCTGCTGCGCGCAGGCGCCGCAGGTGCCGCTGAGCAGCGTGCACAGGACACAGCAGCGACACCTGGCCCAAGCAGGCGCACTCCAATGTTCGTTGGCACATGCTCCCGCGGGAATCAGTCTTGTGAAACGGGATGGCCAGCGTGACTGCACGGTCGTCAGCTTGCAGGTGATGAACCTCTGCCTGCGCTAACTCGATTTCCCTCAGCATAAACCAACACCCAAGGATGACCACATCCACGGAATGCTGCGGGCGATCCACTGCAAAGGCTGTTGAGTCATCTAAGGCCACCAATTGCTGAAGCTGCGGCAAAAAGAACGCGTCCTTCAGCTTGGCAGGGCCTTGTCCCCTCTCAATAGAACGGCACACGTCCCGAATGGTACCTCGAAGCGCTGAAGGAAGCTCGATGCCAAACTCTCGAAGCTGATATGCTGAAACCACCGAGAAGTACTGCTTGGCGGAGCGATAGCGCCCTTGCTTGAAGGACGCTGCAGCCTTGCGTATGTTATCCAAAGTCATTGGAAAAGGCGGCACTGACCACGCTGCACAGATGGTCTGCCAAGTTGCCACCCTGCTGAGCACAGAAGGCCGGGTGGAAGGCGCCAGCATGTCTATCTGGAGCGCTTCAAGGCTGGCTCTTTGGTTGCTGGTTGTTGCAGCACTCAACGCTGCCTGCAGTGAAGCCGCCCCGCCAGGGCGGTTCACTGGAAAATCCGGTCGAGGACACACCGGCTGCAGACCCGCCTGCTGGGGCCTTTCAACAACACCATCCGCACACGGGCAAAGCATGTTCAGCTGCTCAGGCCCCACTCCTGATTCCAGGAGGAACGGTCGCTTTGTGGCAACATCGCACAACGATCGAATACCGTGAGTGACTAGAAAGGGGGCCAAAGACTGTAAGTTGCAGCTCTTCAATTTAGCAAGCAGCTCAGGAAGGTCTTTAAGTGATCCAGGTACGGCCATTCAAGCCAAAGGGAATGTACATAAGGCACACACGAAGCAATCCAAGGTCACCCCCATCAGCAAAGGATCTGCGCTAGCAAGGCAACGGCGGCCATGGATCGATCCTATCTTCCTGCTGATTGTGGGGCTTGAACCTTCAAGCTCACAGTTCGTTCGCTTGCATTGTCATTGCGTACACACATGTACTTCACGCCAAAAGTTCCACCTCCAGCAAAGCCGGAACCGCTGGACGGCCCCTGCCTCGCTCGAACTCGTGCACCAGCAGCAGGCCTCGGCCCTCCTGCCCCGCGCGCCCGGTGCGGCCCAGCCGGTGGATGTACTCCTGTCACAGGATCACAGGAGGCCACGGGGAGGCCCAGGGGACAAAAAACCACCAGGGTCTGTGAACCCAAAACTCTAGGGGAAGCTTCCCCATGTATTCCAGGGATCCTGCTTTTCAGGAAAAAAATCCAATCCCGTGAAAAGAATGATGGTTCAGAAGAATGGGGAATCAAGCCGTAGAAAAATAGGATTCGGACCTGCCTAGATGGTTTGAGGAATCCAAAAGGAAACCGCCTGGAGTCTGACGGCGGCCCTAATTCTGAGAAAGAATGATTTTGAGAATTGGGGGCAAAGGCGAAAAGCTTCAGTCTTGTTAGGTTGTGGATGCTTTTGGGGGGAGTGGTGTACTGACCGGTCCCTGAACGGGTGAAAGGGTACCTTGAACAGCGGGAAAGACGGGAAAGCGCTCAAGCGGAGGGCGGGAAGCTCGCCTGCTCGTGGTTGGCAGTTGACTCGCTGTGTTTTCGGCGGGGAAAGCTCGTGGGGTGTTTGCCGGCTGCAACGTGTCAACAGTATATATATATATATATATGTGTTTATATGACTGCTTGGCCGCTGCTGCTGCTTATGAAGGGGGTTGTTGTTGACCTATATGGTGTTCAAAGGGCTTATCACGCCATTGAACCATCTGCGTGCGGGGCCCGGATGGTAGGGGCCTGCATCGTGCGCCTTTCCTAGGCACCCTTCACCAGCAGAGTGATGCTGAAACCACCCAAGGGAATTCTCACACGGGGCTTCCCATATTCCCCCCAACTGGTGGTTTTACACATCCCTTTGGGGCGAATTGTTTTATGTTGACCCCAGATTCATAAACCCATCCTAAGAATACGGGGTGTCACCTAAAAAAGTGAAGGATTCCTACAAAAAGGGGACACCCCCTATAAATTAACCAGGGGGTATTCTTAAGTCGTTCTTCCCATGAAGTGAGTTTCCTTCCTGTTGGTAGGGTGATGTTTGATCCAGGACATATTCTGGGGTAGTTGGGTTGACTGTTGGGGAGCGTCAAAGTCAGAAACTGGGGTTCTTTCCCTTTAACCGACCACTTCGGGGATGACCTTGACAATGGTGAAACACTGAAGTCGCCTCAGCGCTCCTCCTTGGAGCGCGGCGCTCCCATCTGCACAACCTCCGTGACACCTGAGAACGAAAAAACGGCTTGGGTGAAGTTCTAGGAAGGGGTCCGTATCCCGATGTGAATATCTAAGGAAGAGACATATTGAAGTTTGGTCCAGAAACAAGCACTGTATATATAGATACTACCCACCCACCCACCCACCCTGATGGATCTACATGTTTGCTGTTTGAAGGTTCTTTTGGAGGTGTTTTGGAGGTGTTTTGGAGGTGGAATGCAGTTGTTTTGTTTGGTTGCCCCATGCGACTGGACCAGCATCAGCTCACCCTATGCAAGGAAATCCTCTTCATACATGTTTCAGGAATAACAAGTCCAATCATGTTGTTTTCTTTGAAAAGGACACCCTATTTAAACTATCTTTAAAGTTAAGCGCTGCACTAGACATGTGTCCTGATTAAACTCCATTTAAATTGTAAATAGAAAATGAAGAAACAACATCCTGAGAAAGGAAGTCCTCTTTAAAACATGACTTGAAATAAGAATCCCAATTGACAACATTGAGTGAAAGGACATCCTGTTCGAAACATATTTGAGTCTAGAAGTTTTATTGGGTGTTGTTCACTGTTTTAATATCGAGTAAAATTCTAATTAGAAAATTGAAAGTCATCCTGGAAAGGACATCCCTTTGAAAATCTAATGTAGCATAAGAATTCCAATTAAAACCGTCTTATGTTTTATGAAAAATATCGTTAAAACTATAGATTCTGCTAGAATTACGTCCTTATTAAATTCTATGTAATTATGACAAACAAATACAACCCGTTTGAACATCTAATTTCAAATTAGAATATTGATTACAAATCTTGTTTGAAAAGGAATTCTTATTCAATTATCTTTAAACTAGAAACTCTACTAAGTTTCTCTCCTTACTAGATTCCATTTCGATTCTGACTAAACAATTGAACTACCACAATCCTAGAAAAGGACCCCATTAAAAATTCATATTCAAATCTATGCTGAGACAGTAATTGTTGTAATTGAACCTTATGTAAATCCTTATCGAAATTCTTTGAATTTCTAAGCAAAAAACAACAAACACAACAAAAACAGTAGGTTTATTGAACAACAATACTTTCGAATGACATTCACTGAAAAAGCATCTACGATAAATAAGTCCGATTCCTATAAACGTGAGTTAATGAACCCCAAACCCTACACCCTAAACCTGTCAATTCTACGCTGAGGATTGGTTAGAAAATGCAATAATAATAGCTGTATTGGAGCCACCACAAGTTAAAAGGTGAACACGTAAAACAGTAATATGGAACCAATGCCCCAAAAATTAATAATATATATATATATATGGAGCCAATGACCCAAAGGGAAAAGAAAATAGAAAAGTAATATGTGGGAGCCAATGACCCAAAAGTAAACAAAAGAGAAAAAACATGAAAACATGGGAGAAAAACAATAAGAAGAAAAAGAACAAGAAAAAACACGTAAAGCAGTAAAAAGAAAAATCTGGAGCCAATGACCCAAAAGCAAAATAGCGGGAGACAAAAAGTAACACCATGGACTGAAGTAAAATGCTTTCACCATGAACTGAAAAGTTTACTTGTTAGTTTTGTTTTTTTCCTTTGCTACTATTGGAGATCATGAATTTTACGTGTTTTTACTTTTTTGCTTTACTTTTTACTTCTTTACGTTTTTACTTTTGTACTTTGGTAGGTGCTTTTTACTTTGGGGGCATTGGCTCCAGAACTTTACTTTGTTTCTTTTGAGCTATTGGCTCCATAATTTTACTTTTTCCCGTTTTCACTTTTGGGCCATTGGCTCCAACCAGCACCCTTCAAGGGTTGCCAATTGGTACCCAAAATGGCTCACAGAAGGGCACTTCAGGTACAAATGGACCACCCTTGGGTGCTGCAACATAGCTGTTGCTTTGCATCTTCTGACAAAACCTCAGCTTAGAAGTAGGACAAAGGTAGATCCAAATCGACTCAAGCTTCATTCGGGCATGGATTCAAAATTCCCTGGGAAAGTTTGGCCTGAAGCTTCCAAATTGTCTTTGGACACGCCTTTTTGTTCCTGCTTTCCCCAAAGCCCCAAAAAAGGAGGAAAGCACTGCAAATACCAGTGAAGTCTAAAGGAAGGTAGATCCATAGGGGGGTACCATGTATATATATATATTATAATATATAAGGCAGGTGCTTGCAAAGCCGCCGCCAAGCACGGCATTCACTTTACATCCCCTTCGGGGGATCCCCGGATTGCGCCTGGGTAGTCCAGGCCGCGGGAGGACACGTCGGAGGTGAACAAAATCCCACCCTCAGCTGCCCGGAACTTGTCAGACTCCTCAGTCCTGTCGTGCAAAAATCATTGGGGTCTTGGGGCCGGGGGGGGGGGATGCCTGCGTGCTGGACACATACCCAAGCTGACAGGGTAGAGAACCGGCAAAGCGGCAAGCCTCAAAAGCAGACTGAAGAACCGCGCCACCGCTTTGTGTTGAGGTTTTGTCATATGGCTGCGGGTCAAACAAAGGCACCAATGGGTTGGCCTGATAAATGGAAACACGGACTAAAACGCTCCGGTGGTTTAATGTTCACCCCTACCCGTATTTTGAAGGCTTGAAGCCGGCTTGATTCCACAACACCAAGGCAAAAGGACTCGCTGTCCGAGTAGGGAGGTAAAACAAGAATACCCAGCACGGCAGAACTTCCTGTAAGCAAGGACCACGAAGAAGTTATTACTTGATGAGTTCGGTACAATGAACCCAAACCGTTGCCCAAGCCGGGCACCCCTTTTGGTTCTCGGCTGTTCTGAGGGTCATGCCATCATTCCGTGTGGAACCCGACAAATGTTGCCATTTGCGCTACCTGTTTTCTGGTGTAGGATCCAAAGAGGGATTAAAAGCAATTTAGTTAGCCCCGTTCACTTGGCATTCCCTTGTACCTCAGGAAGCTTGCAAAAGCCATTGCCTTCCCATTTGGCCCATGTTCGCCTCACAGGGGCAATTTCTCTGGTGTCCCTCCATAATATGTATAAAACACAAACACACACACACACCAAAAAAAAAACGAAGGAACTCAATTGTCGGTCTCCAGTTCTGGACTCTACGCTCGACTCCCCGCCGGAGTCAGGGGTGGGGGTCCTCTGCTTCTGGCTGCGCCGCGCATGGATCTCGAAGACTGCCAGGTCGGTGCCTGCTCCATGTGCTCACTTTGGGAGGGCTCACTTGCCCAGAAGACCTGCTTTTTTTTCCAGGTGAGCCCTTTGAATGGACGAAATATGGACCAAATTAAAAACCAAATGGTTGAAAGGTCGCTTCGCTAAGTGGTCCGCAAGAGAAGCCTAAAGAACCCGGCACGTACTTTTCATATGTTTGGATCTCTTAATGATAATGCACCTCTGAAAATGAGGGGAATGTTATGCCCTGAAAAATGGCGGCGGGGGGGGGGGGCAAATAGCAGGAGATCAGCAACACACTCAGCAACCGTTTCTCAAACCGAAACAGGGCTCAATCGGCTTCTCTCCAGGGTGTCAATTGGATCAGCAAACCATGAGCAAATATTGTCCTGTTAGCTTCGATTCACAAACACCACCCCAGCCTTCCCCGCACCAATGATATTTGGGTGTCTCTTTTTTAGGTACCCTCTAAAAGGACACCCCCACTTTTACATTCTGGTCCGTCCCGCAAAAGGAGACATCTCGAAAAAGCTTGTTTGGTTTCCCAATGAGCTTTCTGGTTAAACAAGGTCAACAAAAACGAATCCACATGTTGAGGGGACCCTTTTTCTGGCGGGGCGTCTCTGGCAGGTTTTAGGAAAAGAAATCCAAAAACCGGGGCCGCCTGGATCCTGGGGTCTTCTGGTTCGAGACGGACGAACATGGCGCACGTTTTGAGTCGTGTCAAAATGAGTTGGATCACTTTGGGACACAAGGAAACCAACAGGCAACCTTTCCGAGATCAGATTGATTCCCATTGACGCGCAGATGGCGCTTGGTATTGCCACCATCTTGGAGGGTCGCACTAGCTTCCAGCAGGGCAAACACGTGGACAAGGCTTGGGAAGCGGAGCTTCGCCTTGGGGCATTTGCGCAATGCTTTCTGTGTCAGTGCGAGAAAAACTGGGGCAAGTTGCTGTGTTCAAGCGCAGGAATTGATCCCCTTTTCGGGGGCTCAAGGACATGCTTCTCGGTGTCAACATCAGGCCCCCCCTAAAGCCTCTTGGTTTCCTGTTGGATTTCCGATCAAGACCAGCGAAAAGGGGGGGGGGAGGTTCCCAATTTAAGGGCGCACCGAGCTCTATTCAAGCTGAGAGATTAAGGGCACACCCTCTATTCAAAATTGGTGGGCCAATCCTGATCCTTGCCCTCTCACTTACATGTTGAGGAAAATAGCTTCCAAGGGAGTTCCATGTTTGTGAAACAAGCAATCACACGTTTCCCGCCAATTCAAGGTGGAAAAAATGGACTCATGATCTGAGCTGGGGTTCCCACTGCAATGGGACCCCCTTGCGCGCAAACCCTTTCCGAAGCTTCGCTCGCCTGCTTTCCGGAAGGCGTCGGCGTAGTACGCGGCGATGCGCCCCGTCATGAAGATGACCACCTGGGTCTTGCGGGGCAGGTCTTGTCAAAAAAACCGGCAGGAAACTCCACAGGGAGTTCGCCCAATGGTCCCGGCCGATCTGGAGGGTGTCAGGGTCGCTTAAAATGTCCCAAATCACTCTGAAGGAGCATCAACTCAATTTCAGCAACCAGGAGGTGATGCTTTGAACCACTCAAGAAGCGAGACATGAGAGCTGCTCCCTCCAAACCACAGTCATCGAGAAGGTGGTTACATCCTTTGGCTCGGGTGTTCCGATTGGTTTTCCGCGAAACACCCCCAAATAGACTCTCAGTGACCACACGGACACCCCCAACCCAACCCTTTTTGCATGGCTGTAAGCATCAAAGGGAAATCTATGACCGCGAGGCCTGCTCCCTGCCACTAACATTGAAGCTGACAGGTCAGCTAAACAAGGAAAACGGTCCAAGGACCTCCGGGCAGGTTTTATGTTGGTAAGGTAGGGATGGAAATGGTGGGGGGGGTCCCTTTCTTTGTTTTATTTTCTTTCTCTTTCTTGTTTTTTTCTATGTTTTTTTTTGGGGGGGGAGCTTAACGGAAACCAACCACTTTTAGAGGGTCCGGTTACCAGTTTGCCACAAACCCCCGGTGTCATTTCGCTGTGGGTCAACAATAGGTACCCAAAATGGAACCCTGGTAAATGGAAACCTGTTCTAAAACCTGCGGTCCCCCGGTGGTTGAATTTTGATCCATACCCATTTTCTGCCGAGGCGCCACCTTGGGCGGTGTTGCCTCCCGCGCCTTGGCCGCCTGCACAGCAGCCCAGAGGCACTGAGTCATCTGCTCCGTGGGAACCACCCGGAAGTACTGGCCGATGTGCTCCGGCACGAGATCATCATGGATCACCTCCAGCAAAACGTCAAAACGACGTGGCGGAAGTGGTTGAAGGTTTCGCAAGTGCGGGACAACATGCTCGATGGTGAGATGCTCACAGCTTGGGTATCCTTGATAACAACCAGAAAAAAATATTTGGCGGTGTCAATTGGGGGGCCCTATTTTGGGGCGAAGTGTCCTTTCTTTCAGAGCTTCGACCAATAACCGAGGGAGGCAGTCAGGTTGCCCGAAATCTGCGGGAAACAAAAGGTGTCAAAGGCCTAACTTCACGTAGCTACGGACCCTGCCGAAATCCGAATTCAGCCTCCAGTTCAAACCCCCAATTCTGGCCTTGAACTATAAACTGTAACCATTACCTCCACACCTCACCTCCAACTCTCGCCTCTGACCTTGCTGCAGTGCCTCATGCCCACACCTCTGACACCAAGTAGTTGCTTATTGTTTCCCAATGTTCCCGGTGTTCAGAAAGTAAAGGGCAACAGGGCATGTTGAACCGTACAATTGCAGGGAGACCTGCGGACGCAAGCCATGCAAATCATGTCTTGGCGGGATGTGAGTATCAGTCAGCTTCACGTTCCTCACGCGCATATCAAACCCAGGCACGCGTCTTTTGGTATGAAACCATCCACCTCCAGGATTCCCTCACACACACACACACAGAACGCAATATGGAAGCTGCGAAGCAAACGCACTCTCAATCCCGACCACTGTTCCCGCCGGGCACAGCCCCAGATTCGTGCAATAGGGGCTGCACGCACTTTCGGAGAAATGTTGGTGGGAAACCTTGATTCCCGCAAAATATGGGAAGGCGGAAGGTGGAAGGGCTGTGGTTCCTAGGTTCGGCGAGACTTATTTTACAGCATAGCACCGTCAACATCCCCAGAAGTGTTTTTCAACACCCAAGCATCACCGCAACCTTTGGTTTAGGCAGACTGTATGATAGGTTCAAGGGTGGGTCGGGGCGGGGCTTGGGCATCTTTTGTGGCTTAGTGCTGTTGTACGCTTAGGATCGGGTTTAGGGTTTAGGGTAGGTTTAGCGCTGGCTCAGGGTGGGCTTCGGCCAGGGCTGCTTTTGTGCTGGTTTACTCTGGGTTTAGGGCTGGTTTAGGGTTGTTGTTAGGGCTTGGGGTTTGTTTAGCACTAGGGGGTCAGACACGACCCGCGGCTTCGTGCCAGTTCCCTGTTTCTGCCGCGAGAAGCCGCGCTCGCTGAATTCCAGTGCGGAGCCCCTTCCTGCTTTCGTCGTGCCAGACACCGAGCGCCCGGGCGCGGGTTCTGGATAAAAACAAGTGCCGGCGCTCGTCGAAAATCGCCGTGGTAGAGGCTTTGGAGCGCTGGCCCTGCGGAGGACGCGTTCCCGTCGCCGGAGGCGGGAATGCAGCTGGCGCTCGTGCCTGGGCCTCAGCGCCTCTTCGCGCTATCTTCTTTTTCACTTCCGAGCCCATGCTCCGACCTCGCTTTTGATAGATCGTTAGATTCCTAAGTTGATAGATCGAGTGCATGAGATAGGTAGACGGGGGAAAGGATAGATGGATGGCTCGATAAATGGATAGATTAGATAGCAAGGTAGTTCGATACAAAATCTAGATAGGGCAAATGGAGAGTGAGGTAAGATAGATAGATAGATAGATAGATAGATAGATAGATAGATAGATAGATAGATAGCTGGATAGATAGATAGATAGATAGATAGATAGACAGACAGATAGATTGATAAATGGATAGGTAGATAGATAGATATAGAGAAATATAGCTAGAAATATAGATAGATAGATAGATAGATAGATAGATAGATAGATAGATAGATAGATAGATAGATAGATAGATAGATAGATAGATAGATAGATAGATAGATAGATTAGATAGATAGATAGATAGATAGATGGATATATTAAATAGATAGATTAGATTAGATTCGATTTGATTAGATTAGATTAGATTCGATTAGATTACATTAGATTAGATAGATAGATAGATAGATTAGATTCGATTAGATTAGACTAGATTAGATTAGATTAGATTAGATTAGATAGATAGATAGATAGATAGTTTTCATAGATAGATGGATAGATAGATAGATAGGTAGATAGATAGATAGAAAGATAGAGAGATAGAGAGATAGAGAGATAGGGAGATAGGGAGATAGAGAGATAGAGAGATAGAGAGATAGAGAGATAGAGAGATAGAGAGATACAGAGATAGAGAGATAGAGAGATAGAGAGATAGAGAGATAGAGAGATAGAGAGATAGAGAGATAGAGAGGTAGAGAGATAGAGAGATAGAGAGATAGAGAGATAGAGAGATAGAGAGATAGAGAGATAGAGAGATAGAGAGATAGAGATAGAGAGATAGAGAGATAGAGAGATAGAGAGACACAGAGACACAGAGATACAGAGATAGCGATAGAGATTGATATGCGAAAGAAAGAAAGAAAGAAAGAAAGAAAGAAAGAAATGGTTTAGGATGGGTTAGGGTTGGTGCGGGGTTTGCTAGGGTGTGTTTAGGATTGTGAATTTGTGGTTTAGGGATTGCTTAGTGCTGGTAAGGTGGGTTACAAACATCTATCCTGGCAGTGCGGCTACAGAGGGTTGCTGAAGGATGTGGAAAGCCAAAGCGACAAAAACCGCCAAAAGCTACACAAGGACGCAAAAAAAAGCCGCGAAAGGCAAAAAAGCACCCAGACCGACCAACCAACCGATCTACCGACCACGACCGGGAACCCTGCCACGACCCGGCCCGCCAAACCCAGGGGAAAAGCAAACTCGGGGCCCTTATAGGAAATATCGTCCCAAAAATGCTTAAGTTTCCATGCGTTCTTCTGAGACCTTTTTCGTGGGTTGAGCACGTGGGGTGCAGAGTTTCAAGCAAGGGCACATCCACATAGGTGTATTCCGCTCTCCCGATCTCGTGGACAAGTTCGTTGACCGAGTCGGTCATCGTCGCTGAGTAGAACAAGCCTTGGCTGATGCGTGGCTTCCGGTCTCCCTTTAACCCGCACTGCCAAGGCTTTATGGGCCGCTCGTCCTTTCTTGAGGGTACCAGTTGTTGGCTGGCTCAAAAGCAAACCAAAAGGAAACCACACCTTGTTTTAAGGGGGGTGGGGCGGTCCGCAAAAAGAGACACACACACACACACACCATGGTTTTGGCACTTCAACCTGCAAGAAAGGTCGGTGAAATGGACGGTATTGGAGCATCCCAAACCAAGGTGGCTGCACCAATACATGTTTGGGCCCATCTCCTCAAACCCTTTCGCGTTTCAAAATCAAGCGGGCCAACTGGACATGAACGAATGTCAACTGAGAACCCTTTGGTGGACACAATCATGGGGGTTGAACTATGTTGAGGGTGGTCATGAAAGTTCCTAACCACATCCCCCAAAACCCTTTGGAGGTTCATTAGAGTGAGTGAGTGGATTGGGAGTTTCTCAAAATGGCGGACCCCCTTTTGGTTGGTATTCAAAGGGAAACCACAAGGAAACCAACCATTTTTGGGGACCCCAACTTTACACAGTGAGTAGTTGGCAGCTCCAAGCCGCCTTGGCGCTGGGACGCGGGCGGCAGGGCCTTCACTATGTCCAGGGTGGCGGGCCGGAAGACATCCTGCGGAAGCAGCTGAAGCAGCTGGGCCGGGCCAGTCGGATATGAATCCCCACCTAAGGCCATGGGTCAACACCCCGTACCTGCAGTGAACACCCGATTCAATCCCCACTCAAATAGGTTTGAAAATGGGTGGTGCACCGAAAACCCCCAAAATGGGATACCATTGGTTTTGAAGTCCACCCAAGTGATGTCCCCTAAATGATGCCCCCGTCTAAACTGCACACCCATGTGTCAATTGAGAATCGCGCTAGGCAAACAAATACAACGTCCTACAACTTTGGAATTGGTCAACCGGTAAGTCCCACTCTTGATCTATCAATTTGGCGGCTGGCTCCGGCGTCACTTACAGCGCATCATAGCCTCCTGGGCAAATCTTCCCCGAAAACGAAGAAACATGCTTGAAGGGGACAGCTGGGTTCGTCTTAAGCAGCTTAACCTCGGTTCAAAGGGAATTCAAAGGGAGAAAGTTGACTACAAAAAGAAACCCTCCTCCAAAAAATGCGCACTGGGAGGCTTGGGGTTTGGGTTTCACCAACCCCCAAACCGCGATCCCTGCGTTTCTTACAGGGTCCGACTTCTAATGGCCACTTGCTGGTGATGCTGCGGGTGTGGAATTGTGAAGCCACAAAGCGCCGGACCCCCAAAGCCACGAAGCCACACAGCCGCTTTCTGACGAGGAACCAAAAAAACAGGAGAAAAACAAATCGGGGCAGGGCGGGGGTGGGGGGAGGGGGGGACGGATTCGGGGGGGATCAATCGCCCTGCCAGTTTTGCCGTGGCTCCCCCCGCCGTGGCGAGCTGGTCCACCTCGTCCAGCACCAAAATCTCCAACGCCTGCGTCAGATCTTCAGACGCGCGGTCGAACAAATTTGGAGACAAGTCAAAAGTCGGGGCACCCCAGAAAAATGGCGGCAGTGTTGGCTTCCCTTTATATAAACCAACCACCAAAAGGGTACCCTCAAAGAAAGACGCACCCATTTTCCGTAGACGCGTCTGAAGTAGAAAGTCCACTTGGAAATGTAGAGAGTCCCTTTTTGCGAATGCCCGGACTACTGGACCGTCGCCAGGGGAAAACACCTGCGATTCCTGAAAACGGCCTTGGCGACCGGTTTTTCACTTCAAGGGGCTTTTGGGTAACCGCTGCGTATCCCACTAGTGGTTGAGCCGTCTAACCTTCCTGTACCCCATTCTTTCCAGTCCTTCAGTTCGACTGAAGGGAGTTTCTCATCAAATTTGGGATCCCCTGGTTGACATTACCCCCCCCCCCGCCGAAAAGACAAACAAAAACAGACCCATCAGGTGACTGGGGGATTGCCACACCTGGAGGCGCTTAGCGAAGCCCTCGGTCTTCGCCACCTAAGAATGGACACGTTGAGGGCTGGGGGCTGGGTGTGGGGTGGGTGGGTGGGGTCGGGTGGGGGCTGGGTGTGGGGTGGGTGGGGGGTGGGTGGGGTGGGTGGGGTGGGTGGGTGGGTGGGGTGGGTGGGGTGGGGGGTGGGGGTTGGGGTGGGTGGGTGGGGGGTTCCCGAAAGTTAAAGCATCCCAAAAAAATGAGCACCCCCCTATTCAACCGCGGTGTTAATGGATCCGGAATAAAGGCGGGTTGACTCACCAAAAAAATTCCACATGGCTCGCGAAGGTGCTTGCAAAAATCATAGTGGTTGGACTCCTTCCCCGTGCAAGGGATCCCGATAATTTGACAACCGAAAGCATTGGAATCACGGAAGTCCAAAGCCGCCTCTTTTTCTGATTCGGACAATGAGCGCTAACCTCCATCCTCCAAACTTTGAAGCTAATGGAAGAAAGCCATCGAAGAATGTTGAATCATCAGCAGATGTTGTACGGCAGGCCGTGGTTTCCTTTCTGGGTAAGACAAACTATGGAACGGTGGCAAGAAGAAGCCAGGCCCTGGAAATGCTGGGCATTGCCTTCCGAGTAGGTTGGATCTGGCAGGTGTGCAGGGCTTCTCCCAAACATGTCCCCAAATACTCTTGCGACACCTGCAGGAGGAACCCACCAAAAACCCATCCCATCTTTAGATTTGCTTCCTCCTGGCCAGAAAAGCTGGAAAACAACAATTCGGACGCAAAGTACGGAACTCTTTTGGACAACGTGCCAAAGTTTCCCACTTTGCCGTTCAAAAGTCATTCGAAGAGATCCGTCCAGGACGCTGAACATCAGTGTACCGGAACCCACGAGCTGCTTGAAACCACCAATGCCAACTCGCCACGATTTCACATCTGGACCTGAAGCTGATTTCTGGGGCAAAAACATGCACGAACGCAGCTCCCCTCCCTGCTAGAGGGTCAGGACGGTCCCTTTTGCCGGCTTTCCAGGGAGAAGATGCAAAGGGAACACACTTGTCCCTCGTTCGTCCGCGTAGGACTTGGGACTTCACCCTACCCCTACCATGGCGCAAAAACATCCCCAAAGCCGCTTCCCAGTTCGGTTTTTTCTTGGAAAACCTCATCCCAGCCGGGCCCCCTGCATGGCTGGCCAGGCGACCTGGCGTGGCCACCAGCAGCACACCGCCCTCGCCTGCGTCCAGACTCTGAAGGTCCTGGGGATCCAGGGGCAACCAGCGCAGGTTGGGCAAAATGCCAGCAGCCCCATGATCCGCTGAAAAGAGGGAAGTTTAAACAAAGATTGCTTTTTTTCAAAAATGTTTGGGATCGCTTTGCACTCCAAGGCTGCATGATGAGCCCTCATGACAAAATCAGAGCCATGATGATCCGTTTGTCTGAAACCTAGAGACCCTTCGAATAGAAAGAGCGAGCATCAGAAAAATGTGAGAGCTCAGTGTCACAAGGAAAAAAACGCACCCAGCATAGAGAATATGGAGTGAAGTTCTCACGAAGCCAGTCCTCTTCCCACGGAACGCCGCCGGTCATGCAGACCATGCCTCAGACTTCAAAGGTTCCCTTCGGCTTCACGGGATACACCACTCACCATCGGCGTCTCAGCTAGACACAATGCCGGGGGGGGGGGGTGGTCTTTTTGGGTTGACCGCATTTGGGCTTGTTTTGAAGGGGAACCAAGCGCAGAAACACAAATTTTCAGGGAAGTCATATCACAGGCCATCTGACAGCTGCATCGGCAAGCAAGTCAGTCCCAGAATTATAAAGGCCGCTTTGGGACACGCCAGCCTTTAAGCAAAGCCCTCTGTGTGACATTTAAACGAGGCCGCTCAAATAAGAGCACAACATGATCCAACCCATATTAAACATGGATCCTTGTCGTTGTTTGGCCTAAAAGTGTTCGATTTTACGGACTAAAGTGCTTGTCAATTTTCGCATTGTCTCTTCTTTGTCATTTGACCATGTTTGACCTCCATGCAGAGCCAATGCCTCGTCTCACGAAACCTTACTTGTTGGCAAACGCTTCCGTCGGTTGGTCGTCGCGTGCACTGGAGAAAGACGTAACAGGTTCTCAAAAGGCAACAGATTGGGAGGAAGCTGGCCCTTCAAACGACAAACGCCCCTGCAAGTCGGGGCTTCCCTGTTGGCTCTTGGCGATCGTGCAAATTGTATATTGGGACCCCTCAATGAGGGCGCTTACACTTCGAAGGGGTGCAAACGCGATGGTATTGCATTGGGCACATTTTGGCGGCCGCCCAACCTTCATGGAAAGCGTTCTAACCATCATGCCAGTTCGTCGCCAAGTCGAGCCGAAAGGTAACAAGCTGAATTTCCAAGTGTTCCCTCTTGAGGTCTGGTCTTCCCCTCTTCCCCCGCGTCTCTTTCCTTTAAAAAAGACGCCCGGACGTCCGCCCGGACGACCCCGTCTCCCCGCCCCGAGCCCGGCGTTCTCCGCGGGCGGCGAAGGCCGGCGTAGAACCGCAGCAGCTTCTCGGCCTCTCCGGCCACCTGCATCCCGAGGAAATCGGCCGGCCGCTGGAAAGGGGAAGCCTCTTGGTTCGAAGCCTGACGGGTTGCCGCTCAATGGTCAAAAAAGAAACATGGAGAACATCCATGAGTTGGGTCTTGCGGTTTATCCAGTACGAATCCATCCAACGGTTTTGTTACAGTTTACCCCTTTTGGACGGTGTCGCCTTGTGCCCGCTTTTTGAAGGGCATACCAAAAAAAACGAAACTTGGCAAGTCTCCCAACTGCGACACAGGGAGAAAGGAATTTTGACCCTCCGGGTGGCTTTGCATGTTGTTTCCTGTCCCAAGCAAATGGGAATGTGAAAGCGCTGCGGGCCTTTGAGACATAGACCACACGACCTTCTGAGAATTGGGCCAGTTATTTGGTTGCCTTTGCCTTTCCCCTCTTGAATACCATCCAAAAGGATTTTCCTCAATTTAAGACATCCCAAAATAGGGTAGACCTCCAGAACCGGTCCACTTCCATGATTTCAGGGGGTGCCTTCCTGGCTTAAGGAAGTAGGGTTCAAATGTTCAAATCCAAATCCAAACCGCCAATCTAAACCAACCAAGTGGTACCTGAATGATTGTTGGACAGAGGGTACGTAAGGTAAATAGCCAACTGGGTTTGTGGTTGGCACCGAACCAAACTACCTGATCCCGGGCTAAGAAAATTTCGCCCCCGACGCCTTCCTCCGATTCGGGGATTGGGCCTGCATGGAGAGCTCCCTCACAGGGGTCAGCACCAGCATGGCCACCGTGCCTGGCACGCGGGCCAACCCACCAACAAAGGGGAACAGGGTGGTGCTGAAATGGGTTTTGGTTCGTGACTTCCCAGCCCGGAAAAACCAAAGAGGAACCTCTTTCTGGAAGACCCCATGCTAAGGAAACACAGGTGAACTGTGGATCAAGGCTGGAAAAGACCAACTCGGGCGCCCTCGAAAAAGCTCGACTTGACTGGGTAGATCGGGCCAAAGAGCAACTAGGCGGGCTCGCAAAGGACTTACTTGAAATTTCCCTTCAACCCCCCCCATCAAAAAGAAGCCAAATGGATGAGCTGCTCAGGGCGCGGGCGGTCAAAAGAAAGACATTCGGAACTCTACTCTGGAGAGTGGGAATTTTCGCGAACACAATGTGAGCCACGATCAAAGCAATCACTGCCCCCTAGCAATAAAGGGCTCCCCAACAACAGAAATTCTTTTGTCAACACCCCGGCTGGCCATATGCAAAATGAGAATAGGCCAACTCTGAACCAACAAGGTCGAGGTCGGACAATCCGGAGGACCGTACTAATTCGTGATGGTTCCCTTTTAGTAGTGAACTAATCTCTCGTTTTTGAAGGGGAGGGGGGTTCCTCTGATTCGTAGGGTCCTCCGGATTCATCCGAAGTTGATTCTCCCTCCCTCCAGCCGAATTAGGGGATCCTACTTTAGTCGCAGACATTCCTTTACTTAACAGCATGTTGGAACCTTATTTGGCTGCTGATGACCGGACAACCCAAGTTGACAGCCCAAAACCCGGAACCAACCGGAAACCCCTAAGAACAGCAAGTGGTTTCTCCCCGGGATATTTTGGCTATTCGGGGGTTCATTCTATGCTAGGGTACAAGACATGGGACAATTAGAGCTCGTCCTCTGGTGTTTGTGGTTGAATTCGAGGGCGAGTCCTCTCCGAACCTCCCTGCCGAAATCTGCTGACTCCTTCCACTGGGAGGGTTACCAGGGTTTCCATTGGTTCTATGGCCCCTCGCTGCAAGCCCCAAAACAAGGGAGATTTTTTTAGCCTTTGCGCCGGCTCGGCCACGAGCCATGGAGTGCTGATCAGCCTTTTTTCTACGTGCGAGTTTCGCTCGGGAGGCCCAATGTGACTGAGCCCGCTCTCATACCACTATCAGATTCAGCCCGCGGAGTGCAAGTTAAGGAATGCGCGGCTTCTAACTGTAACGACCCCAGAAACAGTCAGAACAATGAGCCCAGCGTGACCAGGGCAAAAAACCGCATGTCGCGCTATCCGACCATGTGAACCACCCCGGCCTGGTTGCCTTTGCACGTCAGTCTTCTTCTGCATCCTCCATTCACGACATGATGCAACAGCGACAAGGACAAGGGTCGTTGTCACGAAACAACCCCCTGCTCTTTGAACTCCAATTGCAAGCATCGTGCATCGCCTCTTGCCCAAGCATGTGAGGAGTTCCATAGGGGCTCTCCCGGTGTGATGCTATGGAAAAACAAACGATGAGCCCCTTCCCCTGCGCAGAAAAGCAGCCTGCACTCCTAAGTCGCACCAGCAGCTTTGCGAATGGGTCAAAATAAATCCAAATTCCCCAACCCCAAACACCTTCCCCCCGTATCCTCTCGACCGCCGGCAGCAAGAAGCTCAGCGTCTTGCCGCTGCCCGTCTTCGCTCGCGCAAGGAGCTCGTGGCCTTCCAACACGGGGACGAAGCTCTTGTGCTGCACCTCCGTCCTGAGGGTAAGGAGGAAACCTATTTCCTCCCACCCTTACCCTACCCCCGCAGAAATGATTATTTTTTGTTCTTGCAAGGGGGTCTTACAAGGACGGTTCTGAGAATCCCTCTGAGGGAAGGGGGCCCCAAATATATGTCCTTCTTTCCGTTCAGACGCGACGACTACGTGAGATCGCCGGGGTCCCCCGAGAAAAAGATGAAGGAGAACCAAGCAGAAGGAGGGGAAAGGAAGATTCCTCCAAAGTGAGGGGAACGGGAAGCAAACAGAAGGGAGACTGAGTCCGGTTGTTGGTTGCTGGTCTTCCTTGTAAATTTCCAACAACTGCCCTTTCCCTCTAACACGTTTGTGGAAGGAAGGTGCAACTGGGCTGTCCGTTTGCCACTGTCTTGGGACAAACTTGGCGTTGCGCCAAGCAGGAATCAACTACATTCTTGCAGGGACCATATAATCGGTGTCCTTTAAGCTACAAAAAGGGGTATCCTCAAGACAACACACCCACTTGTTCCAAACCCATAAGGTCTGCTTCACCAGGAGTGCCCTGACCTCTCCCGTTTCCACTTCCCCCCTGAACATTCGGGCGCGTTCCGAGAACCAGGGCGTATGAATCATGCGGGGTTCAAAGAGAAGCACCAGGACAGAAAGGGCTTGAAGAGCACAAATTTGCAGAATTCTGGCCCGGAGATGGTTCATTCGGAAGCGTGCCATGCAATTTTGTGAACGTGGATCTGTGCGTGTCTAGGTTCTGCGCACACAACTTTGAGCATCGAAAGCAAACTCTCTGTGGCCCTTAGGTGCTTCGGACCACGCCTGCCGTGGCGCAGAACATGCAAAGCCAAAGTAACCAACTCGCTGCAGACTTGCGCGAACAACACAAGCGACAACCTGTTCTTGTTGTGGCCCGGCGCAACGAGAAACCTTGCAGGTCCACAAGAAATCGCGCGTAGACATTTTGAGGTCCTTTCAAAATATGAACCTTCACAGAGATGCTTCAAAGATGAGATTTGCAGAACATTTCACGGGCCCTCCAAAAACACCTTGCCTGGGCATTGCAACCGATCTTGCGCACTCCTCGCTTGAAAGAAAATACGTTCGCCGTGCGAGCGGCTACAGCCGCCAAAGACGTGCTTCGCAGCTCCCGAGGCGACATTGGCTCAGGTAAAGCCCAAAATGGTCAAGCGCGGCCTGAGGCCCCACACGCGGGCCGCGTAGCTGCAGGGCCACCTGTGTCCGTCGAGCCCAATTCGCTCCCGCTGGCAACCTGTGGGCTGTGGAATGCGGGGGCGCTGGTTCGCGCGCAATTGCCAGAAAATGCGACGCCCAATCTTAAACGCGGATGACGCGTAGCTTCGAGAAGTACCGCCCGCGCACGGCCTAAACCACCTGCAAGTCGACCCGCCGGCAAACCAGCTTGCTGCCGTTGCACCCTCCTCGTCGTTCAGCAGAAGCTTTTGCAGAACCGGCGCCAAAGGCAGCGGCTGGGCGAACCCTGTCCAGGGTCCGGTGAATCAAGCCAGCCCGTAGCGCCTCCTTCCACTTAATGTTCTGCGTGAGCTCGTGGAACTTTTTGGAGATCGCTGACCAAAGGCAGAACCTGCCTTTGCCGACAAGAAGGCTCCAGTTGCGCATCCTGCCAAGGGTCGCTACTCAGACTCCCTTTCTCAACCCTCCAACCTACCACTTGCAAGGTGGCTTTGATGATGCAGAAACAGTGAGGCCAGCCCTGGCCCGCAGCAAAACCAGCGTCCTCAACGTCGAAGCGAAAGTTGCAGGTGCCGCAGAGCTGTGCCACAAAATCAGACAGCGCTGCTCTTTGGCAACACAACCGCAAGACTGTTGCAGTGGTCTCGAACATGGCACGGGACAGCCAAAACTACACAATGCGATACAAGACAAAGGCATGATACAGATCTCAGCAAGGTGCGCGAGAACCACAGAGAGCTAGAACAACAATATTGTCCATCACGTTCCCGACAAAGGCTCTACTTGTACAAGAAGAGTTTGGCTGGTGGCCTGAAGCAACCAAGAAGGAAACTTCTATATAACTGCGCATGAAGGACAAATGACACGCAATGTGGTTTGTCATTCCATCTGGTAGCTTGGGTATGGCGTGCTTGTTTCGGAGCATCCAAGAATTTTCTCCAAAGCTGCCACTTTGCAAAGCCCTGGTTGTTTGGCCTTCTGCGCCGCTGTGCCAGCAAATGGCCTTGGTAGACCAAGCGAACCGCCAGCTGCCAAGGTGATTTAGCAGCAGGTGGTTGCACAGCTAAGCTTCGTCTACAAGCTGTCCATGTGTCAATCCAGCGCAATCACCTACTACTCGCCAGTATGTCACTGAGATCAAGTTCGCACGAAGAAGGTTGAACCACACCAACACAACCTGGCGACATCTGGCAGCAGTGAATGACACTGCACAAAGGACCGTCTCCACTTGTGCCTGGAATACATGCATTCAGCATCTAGAATGCAGCTGGGGCAAAGCTGTGCTGAGATCAGGGCAAAAGGCCCCGTGTTGTCTCAATCACAGCAGAAAACACATACATTCACAGGCAAAGCGAAACAGAAAAGAAATGACTCAAAGACCAAAGGAGCGGCAAGACAGGCTTGAGAACGATGCGGACATGTGGAAGATACCAGAACACCGGAAGCGCAGCAGGGACATAATCTACTACACAATGGGCAGAACAAAGCATACGGACATGCTGTATCACAGGAACGGACATGCTGCCATGCTGTATCACAGCAAGCGCGGACAGGGCGCTTTTGGTCTTAACGAGCAGGTTACACAAAGCAGGCAGGACAGGATTGATGATTGATGAGACAAAAAGCGGGATAGACTGGCACAGCAATCGAAGTATGGAAAGGACATGCTTGACCGCATACCGAAGTTGAAAGGATATACTTGATAACAGGGAAAGCGGCAATAAGCATGCTGGATCGTAGGACGTATGCAACAAGGACATGCTTGCTCACAGAATGAGCGGAAGCGGCATGCTTAGTCGTCCGAGCGAAGTCAGAATTCGGTCCTCACTCCGTAGTGAAACTGAACATTCTGCAGACGACCAGCTCAGGTCTAACAAACCAACTGAAGGCGGCAAGTACTCAGAAACACAGAGATGCTTTTGGGCTACACGGTGCGTAACGCTTCACACGGCATCGGATGCGTAGCTGCAATGCGCGCATTTCTAGACACACTGCGTGGACAACTGCAAATTTTGTTCGTGGCTCTCCTGGTCCAAAAAATGAAGCAATCAGAAACTACATTCAATCCATACCTACACCTTTTCGCGTTCACCCCCCTCTCCCACTCTCCCCGTTGATACTGATGGTACCACGGTTGTGAAAATCAGCTTACCACTACCACAGACAACCTGCCAATTGCCCTTCAAATGGGGAAAAGGTAAAATTGGAACCATCTCCCTGTAAACAAGTCACTAATCTTCCCAACAAAAAAACTCTAGATGGCGTTCGGGAAGGCGCGGGTCTACGCTGTTTCGTGTTCGCTTCTCAGAGGCGTCCGGCAAGCGGCTCAGCTGGCTCGGTCTTTTGGCTTTTACACCTCCCACCTGTCCCCAAATCGTCTTCTCTTGCCTGAACGGCAGAGGAGCTCCGGGCAATTCGATGTGAAACTCGGACAAAAGTGGAAGTCAAAGAAATGCGATTGCTATGCAAGAGGCGAGCTTAGGCCCTTCCCAAGGCCCTCGGCCTGACCGGTCACAAACAGAAGGCGTGCTTTGCATCGAACGTGACCGCTTTGAACCATCCACAGTTGCAAAACTGAATCGGGCGGACACAAGTCAAAGCAAAAATCCACAAGGCCTCCAGTTGCTGAAGCTCCATCTTTCAAATCCGTCACATACTCGTGAAAGCTCCTTTTGATGCGAACGCTTTATGCAAGTTGCGACGCGGGACAAAGCAGATGATTCAAGGCGTTGTGAGGGGGACATGGTGAGGTGTGGGACAGGAATCCGTCAGCTCATGGTCAGATTTGACATGTTCGGAAACACGCGAAGTTCCCCGCTGAGCCTCTGCCCGCCAAGTTGTAGCCTACTAGCCTGCTAGGTTAGTGTGGTTGAACTTCATGGATTTTTTGGGCAATCAGTTTGGTTCCAATCAGGTCCTAGCCCCGCCTACGGCGCAAACCCCGCCGGCTCGATGGCTCGGCTGCGGGATGAGACCCGAGGAACGTGAACGATCGCTCGGTTCTTTTTCGGGCTGCACCCAAGCCATTCTTCTTTTCGACAACCAAACATGCCTTTGTCTCCCTCTCCTTCCCCGAGAAGCTGCCACGCTGACAAGAAGAAAAGAGTAGCGCTGTCCAAAGTATGCGGTTCATGTTGGATGGTCTGCAAAGAGAAACCAAAAGGAATCCACTCAAACAAATAGCACCGGTTGATGATTAGAACCAAACGGATTTCCCAGTGGAATCCATCTATTGTCCAATCAAACTGTCACTGACCTAAAAGGGGATGTGTCCGAATATGAGGACAAACAAAAGGTGGGTATCCCTTGGCTTCGAAACAATGCCCACTTACTCCCCTGCAACCTGAAAGGATAGTCGCGAGGAATGGGAACCCCCTTTTAGCCGGTGGTCCGTCACTTTTGGAGAAAAACACCTTCATGTTGACCCAGGATCTAAGTAGAACCCGTCCCATTAGTGGGGTGTTCCCTCCAAAAGTGGTCTGAATCCCCACTAAAAGGGGACACCCCCCTATTAATCAACCAGGGGTTTATTCATCCGTGGTCAACATTATCAATAGGACGGATTCATGAATCCGGGGTTCCCAGTCTTCCACGAACCGCCGAGCGTCATCTGCTCGTAGCCGAAGCCTTTCACCATCGCCTCCCGCCCGGTCGCCGACAGCTCCGGCACCGCGTCGAAGCGCGGAACTGGCGCTCCGGCGGCAGGGTCCTCACTTGGCCATGGCTCCGTGTCTTTGAGGTACCCTTTGTTCTAGGGGTACCCCATTTGGAGATCCTTCTTTTCAGGAAACCATCAAAATCCAGGGGGAACGGCTGGCTTTTCAAAGGAACCATGGTTGAAAAGAATGGGGAATCAACCCCCAGATTTCTAGGCTCGTCTTGAAGGAAAAGTGCTGGAAAGCCACAGGCTCGTTTGGGGATCCGGATCCTAGTTCTTTGGACACACCCACAGATGGCGTCGCAACTGTCTCCGAAGGCAAACCGCACTTTGCAAAGGAATAGATGGGTCTCCCCGGAAAATGTTTTGCATAACACCTAGCTCAAAACTCAAAACCAGTGGAAAAATGTTGTCTATGCCCATCCAAACGCGAAAAGGACACCGAGCCTCTGCGCCATAGCCACCCCCGGCCATGGCTGGAGGTCGGCCGAAGGGATGTGTGGGAGAAATTCATCAAGTCTTAGCTAGAAATAGGCCAAAGTAGCCCCAAACAAGTGTAGTCCCAGGGTATGATAGGCCCACTATGGAAGAAGACAAAAGATAAGAATGCGGCTCAAGCCAGGGTCTTGTAACTTGCTTCATTCACCTTTTCATGCGGTCTGAAAACGGCTCGCATGCTTCATATGGTGAGTCCTTCCTCAGAACTTCCAACGGAAAGGTTTGCCGGTTTGCCATTGCCCTCCCACCAACTAACATGGAAGCGCAAAACGGCCCTTTCCAAGAGGAAAGTAATCTTTCTACAGGGGTCTGTGCACTTCCATGTTTGCGGGTGGGAGGGTAGATTTCTTTGAGAGAAGGCTTGGACCAAACCGCACCTGTGCTCGCCATAAACGGTCGCTGGCATTCTTCCTGGAAGCCAAGCTGGGCGGGCGTTGGCGGATGATCTAATTCTGAACGATGAAGCCAGTCATTGAGGAATCCTGCTTTTCTTTCTGACACAATCATGCGCCCCCCCCCCCCCGGCCCAATCATCCTAGAGATTATCCATCCTGACAGAGACGAGGTGTCAGCATGATTCCCCAACCATGTGGCTGACAATGGGGGTTGTCCCTTTAGTTTTCCTAGCAAACAATATCAAGCAGGCCCCCCACAAAAGAAATGACCCTCCACGTACAGTTTTGGACCACCAAAATCGGGGTGCCAATTTGGCTTAGCCTCAGATGCTTGGCCAAAGTTGGGGCTTAACCCGTCATGCTTCACATACTCATGTTGGTTCTTCCTTGAAGGTCACGGCCTGGTTGCTGAAACACTTCAAGGCTACCAGCCTTTGGACTTTCCTTTTTGAAAAGAACCCCAAAGAGTCTCGAGCGCTTTGCCATACCAAAACCTGCCCCCCCCACCCCCAAACACAAACACGTCACCCGCATAAGGATACCCCAAAAAAACACAAGTTCGCCCTCAAGGGACCATCGGTTTTCCCCCAAAATGGATTGTTTCCTTTTGGATTCCCTTCAAAGTGTCAAAATCAGCCAAAGGGGGTTCACCAAAAAAACAAGAAAATCGGCGTTTTGTCAGGGGACCCACCAAAATAGTTGTGTTCCTCTTGATGTCCCTTTAAAACCAACCCAAAAAAAAAGGACACCATCAAAAAGAGACCAATCCCTCCACCCCCCCCCCCCCCGAACTCCGCCTGCTGCTTCTGGGGTGACGCGGCTTGTGCCGCCCCAGCCTCAATGACTTGCCGACCCCACAAATAGGATTCGGACCCCAACTCGATTGGCTTCCCTTTGGTGCCCGTTTCAACCAAGCCCAAAAGGGGGTACGGTCGCAAACAGACGAAGCCGTATCTTCCTCCAACCAAAGATAGATCAAAGTTGTGCGGATGCTCATTTGGGGCAGGAATGGGATCTCAAACATGTTGGGATCTCATGTAATCAAAGGCCCTCCCGGCTAATACATCCAATCCGCCAAAAAACAACGTTGAAATCCCAAAGAAAGTGCAGCAGGAGGTTGGACAGCGCACGGGTCAATGAACCTCTCCTTCGCATGCAAGTGATACCTGGCACCGCCAAGCACGTAGCGAACCCCTGCCGGCTGAAAGGAGCCTCTCACTATGTGGATGTGTTAGGGCCCCTGCTTGGATTGAAACCGCATGGCCCTTTCTGAGGGTAGTCAAAGACCCTCTCTGAATGGCCAGCGCATGTTCAAGCGCAGCAAGGGATCCCGGTTTCAGTGCTCCGGTTCTGCATCACAGCGTCAAACTTGCCCTTGAGCGTCGACTTTTTCCCAAAAGGCACACCCCCGTAACTGTTACTGGCTGCTCCAACCTGCATCTGGGTTGAGGAGCAGTCCACTGTGGATAAAACAGCCTGTGCGGTACCCCAAAGACTCCAAAAATGCATTGCCCAGTTCTGGAACCCACAAAAGCCGGCCGATCAGCGTCCGCCCATCTTGCCCTTTCTGCGCATCGCCGAGGCCCATTTTCCGGCTTCACCCTGGTTTCAGGGCCATTCAAATGCGGGAGGTTCCTGAAATGGAACCAGGCGCGGCCCCATTGCCAAAAGGGAAACCGAAGGAACCATGTCAAGGGGTCCTCTTCCATTTCAGGAACCACCCGAAGGATCCCGCGAATCGCGGTCCATAAACCCCGGGGCTCGCGATGTCCCCCTCTTCAAGACCCATCGGCTGGGTTGTGTCTTCCTTCGGACCGGTGGGTTCGTGCCATTTAAGGCCTACCGCAAGTGTAACAAGCCCAAAACCACACACACACACCCATTCAGTGACCGAACAAAAAACAGATATTTGCCCTCTGATGTTGAGACAAGAATTACCTTGTTTGTTCCTCGTCCTTTGTGCCATCCGTTTGTGAAAGGCGAGAGTAAAGGGGAGTCCGTCCGGGGAAACCCATTGGTGTACCCGGACTTCACTGCAGGAAGGGATGGCCCAGGACCTGTTCCAGCGCCAAACGCTCCGTGGGATCCATGCGCAGCAGGCTCTTCACCAGGTCCTGCGAAAACCGGGGGGAGGTGGGGGTGGATCTGGTCCACGAAAAGCGGCACCTGTTTCAACCAGTGTCCAGATTTGTCTTGGCCACATGGTTTACGCGGCCACCTGAAGTTATGTCAACTTTAGTTTTGGTGGGGTCCACCAACCGCACCCAACCCCATACTTAAGCCATGGGTTTTAGAACCTCTTTAAACCATCCTTCGGTTCAACTTACGTTGGCTTTCCAAAGCCTGGGCATTCCAGAAAAAGGGATGGCTGTTGTTTCTGCTGGGTGCTTTTTCCTCTCCCGCGAAAAGGAGGCCATGATTTGTCTGGGCTTTGTCCCGTGAGGTGATCGATTGCAAGCCCCAGCTGCGCTTTCTCCCTAGTCCAATGACGGGGAGGCCTCACCCCTTTTTGGCTGTTTGGAGGGTGCACGACGACAGTCCTCCTTGATTTGTGATTGTGTTCTCGAGGGAATGACATGTAAACCCCGCATGTCCTCCAGCTTTCCTTGCCCGGTCAATGTCCAATGCAAGCCCAGGATGTATTCATCTGGTTTGCCACCATCACATTTGTAGAAGACAAAAGATGCATGATGTTCCCACACTTTAAGCCACAAGGGAACCGTCTGGTACTGTTGCCCCAACCGACCTGTTCTTTGGACATGTACGAGTAAATTGGTTAAGAGGGTTGGAGAAACAGGCAGGTTGGAATTTGTGCTAAGATGAGAATTGAGCGTGAACCCAGCCATTTAGAGTTCCGATAGGATCTGGTCAAGCATGCAGGTCGTCAAAGCACAAGGCTTTGAAGATATGCGCTGACAACTTCCTTGGGAGCGAGATTCGATGGTTCGCCGGAAGAGCTGGCCCGGCTGTCGGCATCCTGAACCCTCCACTGTTCGCCCAAGGGGCAACCAACTCTCCCAGCTTCCAAATCTGACTGATTCACGAGAAAAGCGACTCGCGCACCTGGAGCATACAGCATACCCAAGTTCTGCCTGTTGACAAATGGCCGTGGGTCCATAGACCAAAATGGGCGGTGCGCCTACCCCAAAATGGTACAATTGGTTTTGACCCGCAGCCAAATCCTTGTGAATCTGGTAGCCAAAGCCTCGGGAAACAAATCGCTCGGCTTAAGCCAAGTTCACCTCACCTGCTCTCTCGGATTTGGGGTCTCCTATGCAGTTGGCTGAACACTCGGGGGAAAGGGGCGGAGTGGGTCTTCAACACGGCAAGGACATTTGTACACTGGACGGGATCCTGTTCTGTTCCCAAGGAGCGAATCAAGAGGTAAACCCTGGTTGTGGGTGCTGAAGAGTGGACTGGCTGACCTGTGTTGGCCTCAAAGAGCCCTTGCAAACAGCTATTCGCTCCCAGTAGAAAATGCTAAGCCCATACCAAACCAGTACCTCACAATAGCTGGCTCGGCTTTGAACAAGCCATCGAACATGGGATGCTACACACATGGTTGTCCTTTGCTCCAAAATGGACCCTGCTTACTAGAACCCGTTGCGGGTCGCCTAAGATTCCGGGGTCGACATTGACGGACGATCGTATTCATAGAGCCACCAGAGCGACCAAAGCCTCGCCTGCGCTTGCGGCGAACATCGCGTGAGCAGACTCTGGTCATACTGGCCATTGACAATCTGCTCCTCATCCTGCGAGGGAACTCTGAGAGAAGTTCCCAACCGGGCTGGCCCTATGAGCTTATCAAAGACCCCAAGTGGTAGGCTACAAATAAACACCCAACCAGAACCTCCGACATTGATACCTGGAAAAAGTCAAATCTTCGGCAAAAGTTGGGCGGCCTCGTGTTCCGCATGGTTCGCCCCTAAACCCTAAGTATCCCACTTCCTCTGGGGCCTTGGCGCATCCAAACTTGGTTGATGTGTGTTTGTGGGTCCCTTCTGGAAAGCCCACAAGGTGTCGACCAAAAAACTCGAAAAGTCCAAAGATCCGGAACCACATCGCCAGAAAGCGCCGTTGAAAAACCGCTCCCAACCCGCTTCTCTCCGCCCGCTTCTACGCCCGTCCGCAAAGGGCTTCTTCCCAGTGAGCATGACGTACAAGGTGACGCCCAAGCTCCACAAGTCCACGGCCTCAGGACGAATGGCTTTTCTCCTTCCGACGGTCCGACGGCTAGGCCGGTCGACTTCCCCTCGAAAAGGGCGGGCTTTTTGAATCAGGGCGTCAAGTTCTCCAAACAACCAGTTGAGAGTTGCCTCAAGTTACGCCTTCTGTTGACCCCGGATTCCACCGATCGGTGGATTGTTCGGAGTGTTCTCGCCCAAATGTAAAGGAACCGGACACCCCAGCGGTCTATTCATGGGTTCCGAATGCCTCCACGAGGAAACCGTTGTTTTCTGGAGGGGGCTGTCCAATGCTGCAAAATACAAGTCTCATATCATGTGGATGCTTCTCGAACATTTGGATTCTCCCCTGCAACCCAGAAAACGCCATGTAAAGAATCAGAAAGGCGGCTGCACCCATATATGGTTGGGATTCCCTTCATCTACCGGGGCTGTGAGCAACAATTGACCAGTATCAGGTTGCTATGTTGTTGTTTCTCAAATGTTTGGGTGTATGCCTTCAGCCATGGGAATGCAGCACTCATGAAAACCTTAACTCAGTTTAAGGTGTCTGGATCATTTTTGCGGGGAATATCCCGCCGGGGGCGAGCAAAGTCAGAATCTGGAATTGGTGGTTCCCCTGCAACCTGCCACTTGGAGTGTGACGCTAAAGTAATGAGGGCAGCCAAAGAGCCAGCACTTGGCTCTTGCTCCCTGTCCTTTTTTAATGGGGCGGCCTCTATACATCGTGAATCAATCATGTGTTGATTCATCCTGGATGCCCAAATGTTCAACTCTCAAATGGACCAACCCCTGCAAATGAAACAGGAATTGATTCAACCGGTTGAACCAACCCATTCAAGCATCTCAATGTGTAGGTATGTATGTAATGCAATGCAATGCAATGCAATGCAATGCAATGCAATGCAATGCAATGCAATGTAATGTAATGTAATGTAATGCAATGCAATGCAATGTAATGTAATGTAATGTATGTGTGTCTGTCTGCCTGCCTGCCTGCCTGCCTGCCTGCCTGCCTGCCTGTCTGTCTGTCTGTCTGCCTGTCTGTCTGTCTGTCTGTCTGCCTGCCTGTCTGTCTGTCTGTCTGCCTGTCTGTCTGTCTGTCTGCCTGCCTGCCTGCCTGCCTGTCTGTCTGTCTGTCTGCCTGTCTGTCTGTCTGTCTGGGTGGTGGGGTCATCCGCGCATTCAATCTTGGAGTCATTCGCGCATTCAATCCCGCAGGGTCATCTGCGCACGCAATCTTGGAGTCATTCGCGCATTCAATCCCGGAAGTGCCCACCACAGCAGAGGGTTTGGGGGTTGGGGTTTGGGTTTGGGGTTGGCTTACATCACTTTAGGTTTTTGGGTTTGGGGTTTAGGCTTTTGCGTTTGGCTTTAGGATTTAGCCTTTTGGGCTTGGCTCGCATCACTTTAGGTTTTAGGTTACTGTAGGGTTTAGGCTTTTGGGTTTGGCTTTAGGATTTAGGCTTTTGGGCTTGGCTCGCATCACTTTAGGTTTTAGGTTACTGTAGGCTTTAGGGTTGTGGATTTGGGCTTAGGGTTTAGGCTCTTGGGTTTGGCTTGCATGACTTTAGGTTTTAGGTTACTGTACGTTTCAGGGTTCTGGGTTTGGGTTTAAGGTTTAGGCTTTTGGGTTTGGCTCACATCACGGTTTTGGGTTTAGGCTTTTGGGTTTGGCTTTAGGATTTAGCATCACTTTAGGTTTTAGGTTACTGTAGGTTTAGGCTTTTGGGTTTGGTTTTAGGATTTAGGCTCTTGGGCTTGGCTCGCATCACTTTAGGTTTTAGGTTACTGTAGGCTTTAGGGTTGTGGATTTGGGTTTAGGGTTTAGGATTCTGTTGGGCTTGGCTCGCATCACTTTAGGTTCAAGGTTTAGGCTTTTGGGTTTGGCTCAGGTTTTGTTTTGGGTTTAGGCTTTTGGTTTGGCTTTAGGATTTAGGCTTTTGGGCTTGGCTCGCATCACTTTAGGTTTTAGGTTACTGTAGGGTTTAGGCTTTTGGGTTTGGTTTTAGGATTTAGGCTCTTGGGCTTGGCTCGCATCACTTTAGGTTTTAGGTTACTGTAGGCTTTAGGGTTGTGGATTTGGGTTTAGGGTTTAGGCTCTTGGGTTTGGCTTGCATCACTTTAGGTTTTAGGTTACCGTACGTTTTAGGGTTCTGGGTTTGGTTTTAAGGTTTAGGCTTTTGGGTTTGGCTCACATCACTCTAGGTTTTGGGTTTTGGGTTTAGGCTTTTGGGTTTGGCTTTAGGATTTAGGCTTTTGGGCTTGGCTCGCATCACTTTAGGTTTTAGGTTACTGTAGGGTTTAGGCTTTTGGGTTTGGTTTTAGGATTTAGGCTTTTGGGCTTGGCTCGCATCACTTTAGGTTTTAGGTTACTGTAGGCTTTAGGGTTGTGGATTTGGCTTAGGGTTTAGGCTCTTGGGTTTGGCTTGCATCACTTTAGGTTTTAGGTTACTGTACGTTTTAGGGTTCTGGGTTTGGGTTTAAGGTTTAGGCTTTTGGGTTTGGCTCACATCACTCTAGGTTTTAGGTTACTGTAGGTTTTAGGCTTTTGGGTTTGGCTTTAGGATTTAGGCTTTTGGTCTTGGCTCGTATCACTGTAGGTTTTAGGGTTCTGGATTTGGGCTTAGGGTTTAGGCTCTTGGGTTTGGCTTGCATCACTTTAGGTTTTAGGTTACTGTAGGTTTTAGGCTTTTGGGTTTGGCTTTAGGATTTAGGCTTTTGGGTTTTGGCTCACATCACTATAGGTCTTAGGGTTCTGGATTTGGGCTTAGGGTTTAGACTCTTGGGTTTGGCTCACATCACTCTAGGTTTTAGGTTACTGTAGGTTTTAGGCTTTTGGGTTTGGCTTTAGGATTTAGGCTTTTGGTCTTGGCTCGTATCACTGTAGGTTTTAGGGTTCTGGATTTGGGCTTAGGGTTTAGGCTCTTGGGTTTGGCTTGCATCACTTTAGGTTTTAGGTTACTGTAGGTTTTAGGCTTTTGGGTTTGGCTTTAGGATTTAGGCTTTTGGGTTTGGCTCACATCACTCTAGGTGTTAGGGTTCTGGATTTGGGCTTAGGGTTTAGGCTCTTGGGTTTGGCTTGCATCACTTTAGGTTTTTGGTTACTGTAGGTTTTAGGCTTTTGGGTTTGGCTTTAGGATTTAGGCTTTTGGCCTTGGCTCGCATCTCGAGAAGGGTTTCTTGCAAACATCACACCAACCAGAGGAAAATCAAACACATGAGACTGAGAAATGATGCTTAAGTCACGCACAGAAGGAGACTCAAGACCCCTGACGAAATGCCTTCTTCAAATCTACTTGTCTACACTGAAGAATCCTTGGACACTCGCTCAGCACAACTCAAGGTAGGAAGCCCTTGAGCAGAGCTGCCTAGTGCTTGCCAGTAGCTCCAATCAAACGTGCGTTCCATGGGCAACACTCCCGCGTAGGATGCTTTACAAGGGTTGTCTAAAAGCCCTATTACAAGATTGACGCTCGTCCCTACCAGCCCCAAGTAAAACGGAGACATGTCAATTTGACCCGCTCCAATTTTTCAAGCAAGGCTTACCTGCAGAAAGACCGCCAAACGTCTCTGCTTGTCAGAGGCCAGATCCCAAAGCTCCAGTGGACACAGAAACAACGCCGCCCCCTTGTTGGGGTCGTCTCCAAAACAGGCTTTGAAACCCCAAAGCAGCCCTCGAAATAGCAACAAATCAACCTGCAGTGCATTTTGCTCTAACGACCTCCAGCTACTTCCAGAACCAGGCCATGCCAGCAAATCCAACAGCAGCAGTCTCCAATGACCGACCTACAAACGTCGCAGCTCGACCACTTTTCTTGGGCATGGCTGAGTCTTAGGTTTGGCCACTTTGTGACTCTCGCCACTTTACTGCGACTTGTAGGCCGCCGCGTGTGCCTGCAAGCGGTTCATACACGTCTGCATGGCCTCGGCCCATGTTAAGCGACTCGAGGTGTCGATGCCGCGCGGTAACGCCTGCAGGGCCAATGTCTAAAACCTAAAGCTGTCGTACTTTCAAGCATGTTTGATATTCCTGTTTCCCTTGTTGTTTTTTTTCAACTCCCCCCCGCCCCACCCCAAACTAAATGCTAACATCGCCAAACAGAGAGGGAGTTTGAAGACAGGACCCTAGTAGCAGCCCGCGCATTCTTGGCCTGCCTCCCGCACCACGCTGTCTGGCAGGAACCCAAAGCGTGCTTGCACGGTCTTGATCTGCCGGCATCTCTTGCGGTGCCACGCAGACTCCGTGCTGACCTCGAGCCACTCATCCCAATCTGCGCCGTCCATGGCTTTCTAGACTTGCGCCACTTGCTGCGGCAAAAGTTTTGAGTCGCAGTCCAAGCCACGCATGAGTTGGTAGCTGCTGCGCCACTCAAGGGCTCTAAGCGGCAACTTGTCAGCGCGCGTGCTTTTCGGCTCTTCTAGGCGCAACGTGATTGGACTGGTTTGAATTTCAATGTCCGTGCAAAACACAGCATCCGGGCAAATTTCACGGAATCACTGTCTTGGCTGCATGCAGCCGGGTGCAAATAAGAAATGCATCCAAGCAAATTACATGGACTCACTGTCTTGGCCGACTTCATCTGTGTCATCTGGACAACTCAGTACACGGGGCTGTCGTGGCTGCCTTCATCTTCAGACTGTGACAGGAGCGCGTCATGAAACTCGTCTTCAGACATGAGCGTATCATCTTGGCGACCTGCAGACAGGAGAGCATCGTTCTGGCTTTGGGCAAGCTTCGTTAAGAGCTTTTGCACCTGCTCCATGGTGTCGCCCACTGCTCTGGCGCACTTGTTTGTAGCGCGCGCGGCAAACCGCGCGCAAAACAGCTCGCCCAGCTGCGCCCTAGAGCCAGCGAGATCTTGCCACGGCATGCCATTGCCGACGACGCGGTCCGTATCGGAGACGAGGTTCTCCAGCAGCGCCCACAACTCATGCGGATACAAATCGGCAAAATGCAGCGGGGCAAACAGGCGGACCCGCCGATGCAGGGCGGACTCATCGGCGCC